CATTGCAGATCCTCAGGGATCATTGCAGAAGTAGGTGGAAAGATTGAAAGAGCCAGAGGGGTAAATGAGGGCAAGGAGAGTATTCCAGACAGCTGGTCAGTTACTCATGAATTCACAGCAATGGTGACAGCATGCACAAGTCCTATATGCAAGCTCAAATCAGACAAAATCCCAGTATAGTCATGGGGAAGTGGGTAAAAAAATCCCAATCCAACCTAAGGAACTTTTGGCAATTGATGACTGCTGGGAGGGGAAAAGATAAGTCTCTTACAGGGATAGGATTCTTGGTGGGCCCAGCGGATGGACCCAATCTGAAGGACATTTGGGGACACAAGTCAGATGCTGTAGGTTCCATATATTGCAGCACATTAAACTGGGCAAGGGGGCAGTGGGGAGGAGATGTGGATAGGGAGGGGATCTAAACATCATCAAGTTGTATTCTATGAAAATTGCAAAAATTCAATAAAATAAAATTTTTTAAAAATTTGCTATGTGGCCAAGGATGATGCCTGGGATTAAGGCCTCTGTCACCATATTGTTTCTGATCTGGAACTGGTGATTTTTTTCTGCCCAAGTACCACCCACGGTGATGCCTAGCTCCACTAGAGCTTTTTTATAATTATCCTTATTACTGATTCTTTTGTTATACCTTATGATCATAGAACATAATTTCAATCTACATGGTGTCTTGAAATTGACAGTTGTAGTTTTGTTTCATCATGGTCTTTGTGTGAATAACCCATTTAAGAAGAATGTATATGTGGGTCATTGGCATTTGTGTTCTAATGTCATGTGAGTTTCACATACATCTGCCCTTTGCTTATGTCACTTACAGAAAGGTAACAATATCCAATGCTTCTGTTTTTCTCTTTACCGAATTTTTATCTTAAATTCTACTTTATATTAAGTTATATAATGGACTTTTCCTACATTTTAAATGTATGGTTAGATTGTATTTCATAAATAGCATATATACACATCTTTCTTATTTTAGTCAGATGACCTGTATCTTATTGGCAGTTAGAAAAGCTGCCCCATTGTCCTTTGTTTCTTAACTGCCTGTACAAACCACTCAATGTCATTTCTCATCCAACTGCATAGGCCTTTTCCTTTGCCTCCTTGAGTTAGGGTAAGATATACATAAAAATTGCTACTACCATTCCAGCTAAGTGATTCAGTGGTGTAAAGTACATTCCCAATGTTCTATACACACAACTATTAGTTTCCAGACATTTTCTTTCTTTTCTTTTTTTCGACAGGGTCTCCCTGTAGCCCCAGCTGGCCTGGAACTCACTATGTAGACCAAGCTGGCCTTGAACTCAGAGATCTGCCTGCCTCTACTTCCTGAGTGCTGGGATTAAAAGCATGAGCCACCATGCCTGGCATTTCGACGTTTTCATCACCCAAAATAAACTACCTAAAATGTAACAGCCCATTCCCTCCTCCTTCCCAGCCCCTGCTAACCATGAACTGTGTGCTGTCTCTATGCATGACTCTTCCAGGAACTTTGCTAAGTGAACTTTATTTATTTACTTATTTTTGGTCTTTTTGAGACAGGGTCTCCTTGTAGCCCCAGCTGTCCTGAACTCACTATGTAGACTAGGCTGGCCTTGAACTCACAGAGATCCACCTGCCTCTGCCTCCCAAGTGCTGGGATTAAAGGTGTGCGCCACCACACCTGGCCCTAGAGTATGTATTTTTAACGTGCTCTTTTGTCTCTAGCTCTTTAAGAGCATTTTCCTTTGTATATGTATACCACATAAATTACTCATGTTGACAGATACTTGGGTTACTCTCTTATATTTCCTATATTAAACAATGTAGAACAAGCATTTCTCCTGAATAACTACTTTGTAGCCACTTCCATCTTTTGGCTATTGTGAATAATGCAGGGATTTTTTGGTTTGTCTTTTTTTAAGTCGGGGTCTCCCTGTAGTCCCAGCTGGCCTGGAACTTACTATGTAGACCAGGCTGGCCTTGAATTCAGTGATCTGCCTGCCTCTGCCTCCACAACGCTGGGATTACAGGCATGCGCCACCAAGCCCAGCCCAATAATGCTGTTATAAAACAATGGTTGTATTTAAGTATGTCTGAATCTCTTTCACTTCCTAGGGGATATATTTAAGAGTAGATGGTTAGCTGCACTTTAACGTTCTGAATAACCTAGACTTCTAAATATTGCACTTCACACTACTTTTGTATAAATTTCAAGAGTTTAGAATTTTCCTTAACATCATTTTCCTTTCATGACATATGGAATGATTTTGTTCCCTAAGGTTACCCTTAGAAGTTCCTTTAGCAAGTCTGAAAATAAACTGTTTTCTGAAAAAATAATCTTACTGCAGGTAGGCTTTTTTCAAGTATGCTAGCCACGCATTCAAACACCCATTCCCTGACATCCACTATTCTTTTGAAAGTAAACCTGTAGTCTAGTGCATCTTTGTACAGCAAGTGTCCTACCCACTTAGCTGTTTTCAAGACCCACAAGTGTTCAATTTAGGAGTGTCATTAAATAATATTTAAATAATGACAATATTTAAATAAGCTTGTCATTATTTAAAATTTATTATTATTTTTAATGTTAGTGTATTGACTCCGTGTGTTTAAGCGTATCCATGTTGTGCAATGCCCAAGAAGGTCATAAAGAGGGCCAAAGATTCCCTAGAACTTGAATTATAGATGGTTGTTAGATGCCATATGGGGTGCTGGGATCCAAACCTGAATCCTCTGCAAGAGCAGCCAGTGCTCTTTACCACTGAGCCATCTTTCCAACCCCTATTTGAAACCATTAGTCCAGAATGCTTTCACTATCCTTAGCTTACCAACCCTTCCAGCTTAGCAAGTGTCCAATGTGTCAGTAGACTAGAAGATAGGCAGCCTCACAAAAGACTATCATGTTATGTAATGCTATCCTAGGAATAGCTCAAAACTCCAAATCTGAAGAATGGTTTCTACCAAATGGCTATCCTTTTTTCATTACAATAAAGCTGAAGAGTTCTAAGTCATATCATAACTGGAGAATCATTTAGGTTAAATTTGTGTGGGTCATGTGTGTTATGTTTATGTGTATGTATGGGGTGAATGTGCACCTGTGTATGGAGGCCAGAGGTCAGTACTAGGATTTCATTAGTTTCCACCTTTATTTTTTGGTCCTTTTGAGACAGGTGTCCCTGTAGCCCCAGCTGGCCTGGAACTTGCTATGTAGACCAGGCTGGCCTCAAACTCAAGAGAGCCACATACCTCTGCCTCTCAAGTGCTGGGATTACAGATGTGTGCCATCACACCCAGCTATTTTCTACCATTTTAAAGTCCAATTTGTTGGCACGAGGGGGCATGTGTGCCTGGCACTCTTGCAGAGTTCAAAGAACTTTTCATGAACTGGTTCTTTCCTTCCACCACATGGTTCACAAGGACTGAACTCAGGTCACCAGGATTGGTAGCAAGCACTATTACCCTTGATCCATCTCTCTGGCCTTCACCTTTTTTTTTTTCCCTCCAGTCTTTTGAGATTTCCTGTAGCCCCAAGTGGTCTGGAACTCACTATTTAAACCAGGCTGGCCTAGATCTCACAGAGATCCACCTACCTCCACCTACTGAGTGCTGGGATTAAATATGGGTGCTGCCACATGGCTGTCCCCATGTCCCTGCCCTTGCCCCCCCCACCCCACTTTTTGAGATAGGGTCTCTCATTTAACTTGGAGTTCAGCAATTCACCTTGGCTAGCCAGCCAGTGAGCTCTAAAAATTCCTGCCTGAGGATCAGAGGTTTGTGCTGCCATAGCTGGATTTTTGCTTGGGTGCTGGGGATATGAACTCAGGTCAAGCACTTCATAGATTGAGCTATCTCCACAGCTCAAATTCATTACTACATTAAAAAATGCATCCTTACTGATTTACTTGGGTTTCCTCAATCTTATGAAATACTGAAAAATTCTCCCTTCCCATCTCAAATCTGTTACTAATTAAACATTTTCCTGTGTCCTCCACATAAGTTTTCTCCCCCAATGATTTAGTTCATACCCACTGGCCCTCATGTTAAATTTGTTATTTTAACTATCCTGCTTCATTTTAAATTACATTCAAAGTTTCCCCCCCAAATCTGGTCTAGCAAGCCCTTAGACACAATTCCTATGTAAAGATTTCAGGGTAAGTATTGGATTGTTCTAGCATCTATAAACTTTACAGGTGTATACGACAATGTGAAAGTTCTTGCTGACTCTTGCTTTTGATGGCTCTCTTTTTTCTACAATTCTGTACGGGACACCTTTGAAAGATGGCTTGAAGATGGCTTCTTAGCACTATTCTGGCTTAGTTGATTTCTAACCAGTGCAACAGCCTAGATCCAAATGTGAATAAAGGAACTTCTGAGAAATTCTCAGGGAAAAGTTTCCCCATAGACTCAAAAATTCATTATTGAAGGTTTGGCTTCAAGAAGGGCTGACAGTGGATGGGCATCCTGACCACCTACTCTAACCAGACCACAGGTTAATAATACCTAAGTGCTAGGGGTTGTCTATTTCCTACCAATGAACAAATTCCTTTTGTTAGAGCTATAGCAGCCTAGGAGAAGAAAGGCAGCTTCTTTATCAATGTTTCTCTTCCACAAAGATGGGTATTTTAGGTACAACTGTTCTAACCTTGAAATATTTCTGTATTCTCTTTTGTAAACTCCTTGTAAAAGGATCAGAAGACAAAGTACTTCAATCTCTTACCTGTTTAGCACCATTTAGCCAGTCATTAGTTTTTGGTTAGTTCCCATTTCTAAATTGGTGGTGGTTCTTTACAAAAGTGGGACAGAATTTCCACTTGGCTGGGGAGGTATTTCCATGCAAGCACTATAATATTCAATAAAGAATGACTGTAGTATCTAATTTCTTTGCTGTTAAGAAAGGGTCTTGCATCAGTCTTTTTAAACCTGCATTTTATGTAAGGTATGTATCCAGAGAATACCAATGAACTGACCCAAAATATTATATGAATATTTTAATGCAAAATGCTTACCACTTAAAATTAGCAAAGCTTCATTTAAATTAAAAGTCCACAACTAAAGATGGTTAACCCCAAGAATTGTCCAGTAGTCGATTTCTGCTATGTAATGCCAGTCCTATGCGATACATTTAGAACTTGCATCATTAGCTGTCACTCCCTCCGGTGCTCTTGTGGACCCTAATGGGTGGGGGAGGGTGCTCAGACAGACATAAAATAAAATCCAATTAAACTGTGCAGTGATTCCTAATAGTTATAAACCCATTTGAATAAGCTGCCCAAACAAACAGCTGGGAATAACTATAGGTACTGTTTCAGCTGATAAGAGGTCTTATTTTACAGCTTGATAAAAGATCTGCATTAGGTGAGAAGTCACAGTATAAGGATGCGTGGTCTGTAAATAGTTACTACATATACACATTTAGTGTCTGTAAACACTAGAAATATACATTAGACAGAGTACCCTCACAAGTCGGGTATAGTTTTAAAAAAAGAAGATGAGGTAACATGAAATCTCAAAGTCCACAGGAATCCTGCCTGAAGAGTTTGATCAGCTGCCAATAAATCATCTCCAATGTGCAGGAAGGGATTAAGGTTTGCCAAAACTAGATTCACTGGCTTTTAGCATAGCAACTGCATCCTTCACTGCATGGTAGATAACATTCTTCACCTAAAGGGACAGAAGAAAAAGAGCACTGCTTCACCATTAAATAAAAAATCTCACTAAGAATATCCTCCCCACCCATCAGTTTTATTACCGTTCCTTAGAATTCAAAGTCAATACTCAACATGTAATAACAGTGGCATGCCCCAGGCTTCTGGAGACTAGTGTTCCACACACACTTAGTTCTTAGTTCATGCCTTCTCTGAAGAATTTCAAAGCCCATTTTGCTCCCCTCTATAGGTTTTAAAACCACATAGCTCTAGTCAGTGCAGGGCGTTTTTGACCAGGCTTTAAATATTTTCCAAACATAAAATGATACTGCATTCCTTCACTGTTGATTTGGAGTTTTTTGAGATGTACTCTATGCAGCCCAGGCTGGCCTCAAAGTCTCAAAACTTCCTACCTCAGCCTCTGGATTACAGAGTAACTGGGACTACAGGTTTGAGGCACCATAGTCAGCATGCATAATTTACTACTGAAAAGTCTCTTAAGGCAACATCCCCTTTTGATCCTAGCAGCTCAGTTCCTTCAGTTCTTTTCTGCCTCAAGGGGATAAGAACATTGTAGCATTTAAGGCTGGTAGCTAGGTCAGAGATTGAAAGAGCTTAATATTTAAAAGATTTAATACTTAAACCTTTCAGTACCTAAACACTAAGGTAAGTTCCCTCTGAGTTTATAGCTTCGTTGCTCAAGTTTATAGGTAGACTAGCTAGAAAGCCAGTTCACCAACTCACTGTCCTATGTTATAGCCAAGTTCACAGATTCTATAAGGTCACTAACGAACCTTGAAGGCATCAGCAACAAATGCCAGGAACTGGTGCTATTTTTACCTGTAATTTATCTTCATGGTTGGTGTGAGTCTGTGACAGGTAACGGAATTCCTGAGTAAGCCAGAAGCAGTGTTTAACATGCTCTGGAGACACAAAGTCTTCAGCCACTTTGATACAGCTGTATAAGTTATGAACCTGAAAAACAACAAGCCACATTTATTAAAAACCCACAAGTTCACAGCAGAAAGACAATAAACAAGAATTAATAGTTCTGACCTGATGTGGAGCTCCTGCTGGGATAAACACCACATCCCCAAGAAATTGTACAATAGCCCAGCCTTGAACACCATACTCTTGATAAAGGCGCTTTCTTAGTGATCGGTCTAAATACCAGCTCTGATCATGAATAGGATCGTGGTCTGCAGGATTTTCTTGACCCTGCTCTTCTGATACCTAAAATACATTCAAAATGGCATGCAACTTAGCAAAAAAAACAAAAAACAAACAGCAACAACAAAACCCAGGAAGATATTCTCCCCTCCAAAAACTACAGGTAGTCTGTAAATGTCAAGCCTTCTTCAACCAAGTGGCCTAAATAACAGTACTCAAACACACTGAGAGAATAAATTGGGGCTGGAGAGATGGCTCAGCGGTTAAGAACATTGATTGTTCCTGCAAAAGACATGGGTTCGAATCCCAGCACCCACATGGCAGCTAACAACTGTCCGTAACTCCAGTTCCAGGGGATCCGACAGTCTCTTCTGTCCTCCGCAGGCATTGCACAACACGGGTGTACTTACCTACACACAGGCAACACACTCATACACATAAAATAAAAATAATTAAAAAAAGAGAATAAATCAACAGATTAACAAAGAAAACCTAGCCTGTCTGCTGTCATTTCCTTACAATCTCCATATTTTTTTTAAGTAAACTTAAGTATTTTGGGTTCAAATTTTAAAAAATATTTTAATCATTGGTTTTATGTATATGAGCGTTTCGCCTGCATGCATATAAGTGCACCATGTGTGTACAATGCTCAGAAGGTGTTGGATCCCCTGGAACTGGAGTTACAGACAGCTGTTAGGCACCATGTGGATGCTGGGAGCTGAACCCAGGTCCTCTGGAAAAACAGCAAATTTTCCTAACCCCTGAGCCATCTCTCTAAGATCATTGGGTCCAAATTTTTAAATGCAAGTAGATTCATGCTCCTTAGAAATAAACTTGTTTTTAAGGACCTGTACTTACCTAACAATCTGAGTTACGAAAACAGTCCCAAAGATGTAGATTAGACTTGTTTATTCTACATCCAGTGTCTGGCAAAGCAGACTCAACAGTAACATTAATGAAACAGGTCAAAGAATCAAATAATCTTTAAACAGAAATATCTTGATTCTACTTCGTTGTCAGAGAATGCAAATGGCTTAGGAATGTTCACATCTGTGACTCAGGACTAGAGTATATCAGCCAAAGATTTCTGGTGAACAAGTTTAAAACAGAGAAACCCATTTTTCCAGTTGCTCAGACTTTCACATTGTGTTCCCGCTAAACAACTTGCTGACTACAGGAGAAACCTAGGCTTTTCTAAACTCATGCTAACCATTAGTAATGACCACAAGTAGGGCCTCTCACCAAGTGAGAACAAAACCAAGAGAGACTGAAGTGACTCAGTCAAACCTTGGTGTTTTGGGCCAAGGACTGATACATGAACTAATGAAGTGTTCATATTTTTAAGGCAATTAAAGAAAAAAAAAAAGATGCAAGGAAATGACCAGATAAACTAAACTGAAGACAAAGAACAAAAATGTACAAGTGCATTATAAAACAAACATAAAAGGTCTCCTCTTTTTAGAATCCTTGTTTCTTAGCACCACTGACAACCTATCCAATTTGATATGCGAGCCAGTTCAAAGCATGAGGTAAGTTATAGCATTGCTATTCTTATGCCTCGCCTCATGTGGCAGAGTAATTAGCACACCTTTTTAAGAAATTCTCTTATCTTCTCCGTGTCCTTAGCTGCATATATGTGCCAGAGGGCTCCCGGCTTCTCTTTTCCCTCAATAAACCGCTTTATTGTGAGTTCATCAGAATCTCCATCTTGGATGGTTCTAAGGACTTCTAAAACAAGAGAAAGCAAGTATCAACCACAGGCCCTAACTCAGACAGTAAGTCTCACTTTTATGCTCAAGAGCCTACCTTCTTCCTGCTCACACTGCCCTTTGGGAATTCCCACATAAACCATGACATTAGCAGCATCAGATACATCTAAGTGAAGATTTGTTGTTCCATATTTCCGATCTTCCGGAGTGATTAGTCCTGCAAAAATAAAATGCCTTAAGTATACTGTGATACATGAAACCAAGAATTAGAAAGCAAGGAGAGCTGTGAGCTGGACTCCTGAGCTAGGATTTGCTGAAAACATTTGCTTAGCTAGGTTCAAGTTTTGTCTTTCTAGTCAAGGAAGCTTGGGAATAAAAGACATCAGCCAAATTCACTCAAGGAGTCTATTGGGAGTCCCCTGCTTACACATACATAAAGTAGGAACCAAGTAGGAACAATGGCCACCACACTGAGCCAGTGTGAGGTCACCTCCAGTGTTCATACTGTGTCCATAGAAGACTCACCTTGCTCAGTGGTCATACTGGCACCATTCCCCAAACCGGAACTCCACTTCTCATACAGGGCAGCAGAGTAAAGTATGGGAAGCAGACTGAGAGAAGCAAGCAGAGGCCTGGCAGATTCTGAAAAGGGCCCATACTGATTGGAGGAAGGTCTGATTTCTAGCTTGCCAGGGCTACTATTTAAGTGAGGCTAGAGGTGGGGAGTAGTAGCTTATCTTGTCAACCTAGAACCAGAGCCCAAGAGCCCTGCTACACTTCTGCCTTGTTTCCAGCTTGCTGAAATACCAGGCCTTGCAATAGGTAAATTATTGGATATCTGGGTTGAATCATGGAATTTATGAGATTTTTTTTTGTTGTTCTTTGTTTTGAGACAGGGTCTCAAGTGTACAGCCCCAGCTGGCATAGAACTCATACACACTCTGCCTCCCAAGTGCTGGGCTTAAAAGGTGTGCATCACTACACCGGCTATGAGATGTTTTAAAATGGTAAAAGGAGAAATATAAAGAGAAGAGATAATGAAACAATTTTAACAAAAAGCTGACAGTGGCTCTCCCTGGATGAGAGTATATAAGGAGCAGCTGCACTAGACTCCCAAGTTCTCAATGTGCTTGGAAAATATTTCCATAGTAAAAAGTGTGAAATTTATAGGAAAAAGCAATTAAGTCAGAAATAGGATGAATTGCGATAGTTACATATGACCACATGTAAGACTATTTTAAGTCAGATTCTACTTATATAGAGCTCAACAGGAAGTTACAAAACAAACAAAAAACTGTAGAAAAATAATTAGTAAAATTATAAGAGAAGGATGGATACAAACTTCCTGATAGTGATGGAAGAGAATGGTGGCTGGCTTGGCAAAACAATAAGCAGATTTAAGAGTTGTACAAAATTAGAACTGACTCCTAGCCAGCCACTGGAGCCAAAGTCCATCCCATCCCTGTCATGGATTATTGCACAGTGAAACAACCAGACTCTGAACTGAGGAAGCCTGAACTCAGCTGGAACAAAGATTACAAAATTAAGAAAAACAACAACAAAAAAATCCTTTTAGGGAAAGGAGTCTCTGAAAAAGTATTGTCAGAAGAAAAGCTTTCACGGTAACACTGCCACCTATTGGTTGTTTAGAAAGGAAGATTTACCTATGGCCAAACATTTAAACCAAGTTGGCAATTCAACTTGGCAATTTTTCAGACACCCATTTCTGATACAGCTTCATTTCTGCAAAACACTCACTATGTAACATCTGTGGAAAATGCTTTCACATACACAGTTACTGTAAACCGCACTGTAAAGAGTGTAAAGTTCCACATCATCCATTGCTTTGACTGGGCTCTCAGGACATGAAGGAAGAAACCCCAACTAGGGAAATGATACAGGCCCACAGGATATACAGGGATCACTGAGACCTGAGAAGGAAATGAGGAAGACTTCTTTCTGCCTGTCAGGCCATCTCTCCCACCCTATCCCAGCTTGTTACCTTTCTAGAGAAACACCTCTTAGAAAGTTCCCCAACTACATACATTCCAGGTGTTTCCCCTGGCTGACTCACCCATAACTGTGGTACTAAGGCTGGTTCTACTCTCTCTGCCCTACCCCTGATCCTTCTGCCAACCAGCACAGAATGGCAAGGTAAAGACATCAGTATCAGCAGGCCATGGTGGCACATGACTTTAATCCCAGCACCCAGGAGGCAGAGGCTGGTGGATCTCTTTGAGATTGAGGCCAGCATGGTCTACGTGATGAGTTCTAGGCCAGCTGGGGCTACAGGGTGATCCTGTCTTAAAAAAAATTCCACAAAAAAAAACACAGTAAATGGAACTTCACTAAATAATAAACGGGTCAATTTTGGCTGGAGAGATGGCTCAGTGGTTAAGGTTAAGAGTGCTTGCTTGCTCTTCTACAGGGCCCAAGTTTGGCTCCCAGCACTTCAATACCCATTTCTAGCCTCTGTGGGCTCAACAGATGTACTTAGCGCCTACACATAAAAATAATAAAAAAATCTCTCCTTTAAAAAAAAAAAAAAAAAAAAAAAAGCAATTGTGCAAACAGCTGGACTTGTTTTATTTCCACTGTGATTTTTCAAGCTAGCCATCTCTTCCTTACCATAAGCATTGTACATCTTGGGGCCCAGGTCTGGCCGAACAAAGTAGTTTGGCAGTCTAGAGGCCAAGTTCAGTTTACCATCTCGCCTTGTGTACTCAGGTAGTGGAATGTTGGCCATCAGATCATCAAATCTAGAACAAGAAAACCAAGAGTTTGCAAAGTAAGCTTGCCTTTCTAATCATTCTGACTTGCTTTGTTCCTCCTTATATAAAAAAGAACAACTGTGATCATGAAGATAGAGATTACTGTTAATACTTAAGATTACTTAAGACTACTATGGGGTAATCATGAACAAAAATGTCTTCTTTCCTATGCCACACTAATGTGTACAAATGATTTGAGACAAGAGACCCAAGAAGTAACTTTCTGATGAGATTAATACTCAGGGACAATACAATATTTATTAGTTATGAGGCTCCTTTTTTAAAATTTTGAGCTCAACTCAGGAAAGCAGTTCTACCAATTCAGGTGTCTTGCTCGTTAATAGCGAATCCTAGTATGTCTAATCCCAGGACTGCCTGCAAATCAGCCTGCAAGTCTTCTGGGAAAGGCAGGAGCAAACCAAAATCTTCCTCATCTTATTTAAAAATACACACATCTCCAAAGGTTACAGACAGGATATTAAAAAAAAATAAAATAAAAAATCAGGACCAGAAAACCATAGAGCTGTTGGAGTAGTTCTATTTCCCTAAAAACTATCTTCCCCCACACCTAAAAGACTTTATTTTACCCAAGTCAAAGCCAGAATTAGCTTACTCATACCTGGAAGGCATCATATCTCTAAAATCCTCTCCCGGGGGCCAGTCCTTAAGTTTCAACACCATTGGTTCTTTTTCTTTTTCATTTTTTAAACGATCTGGAACGTAACCAGAATAAATGAATTATTGTTATTCCTAACTCAAAGAGACAAAGACAAGTTAGCAGTTTTTGCCTTAATAGTGCAAATAAAATACACTTTATATTGGAAAAACTCTGAAAACCAAATCCTTTTGGCATACAAATATCACTTTACTATCTCTCTCTCTCCTGCCAATTACCAATTTTATTTCTACAGCATCAAGCAATCAATTTGTACCCTGGAGACAGCAAAATAAAGATTACTAATTAAGTTTATTAGATTTGTGGGGGTTTTTTGTAAACACTTATAAAACGTGTCCCTTGAAATTCAGTCTTTTCACTGGGTCCCTGACACAGCTAGTGCTTCAACACTTGTCTTTCAGACCCTAGTCTGCTCCTCCTGATGGTGCTGTGAAAGTACCAAGCAGCTCCCCAAATAATCACAGCCTCACAGTGTATCAAAACCCACAAGAGCTTAAACCCAGTTTTCTAAAGCCAGCAAGAAAGAGCAATGACTTGTTTGGCTCAGAAAGAGATTGAGACCACCTCATACTCTGTCCAGAAACAAGTGCCCTTTTCTCTCTGTCCCCATCTTCTGGACAATATAGATCAGGTTTTGTCAGAACTACTCTTTTGTATACTAGAAGTACCAGTTGCTGGTTAATGCTTCAGTTAAAAAGGATAAGCTTTCTGAAAACAGAAGAAATGGGAGCTAATTTTAGAGTCCTAAATCTTTAAGCCCCTGCTAGTCTTGTGTCCCCTCTTACTACATCCTCAACCCCTTTGAAAGCTCTTTAATACATACTGGGAACATCTTCAAATCCATCCCAGAAGTCTCCTACTGTGGCTCCTGTTATAATTTCATTGGTCCTACAATTAACTAGGTCCACTTCCTGTTCACCAAACTCCTTCCTGAAGGATTCAGGCTTCCAAAGTTCAGTGTTCAACTTATGATGCACTCCAGATACCATCACTGGCTAAAGGGAGAGAAAGAGATGTGAGTCTGACTTGCTCCAACTCTGTTTCCAAGCCAGGGACAGCCCCTCTTCAAGCGGCTGCTGGTTTGCTTTTATGTGCTGGTCCTCAGTCTCAGCTGGTGAAGTAAGTAAGTTCCTTGACCTTCCACAACAGCTGTAACCTGACCATGAACCTGCTACATGCCTCTGCTGTCAAATTTGATTAGTAAGCTGCTAAGACAAAGGGTCACCCTTTGATCTGGGTCTCATTACTTATAGAATAAATACCCATGTCCTCCAAGGAACAGGGCCAGATGGGATATGAACGTAAACAAGGGCCAACAGGTATTTCCTGCCAAAAGAGGGTATTCCTTCAGCCTTCAGTCCACCACTGCTAGGCAGCAATTCAGATCTCAAGCTTTCATCTTGTGGTTGTCCAAGATAAGTCTTAATGAATTACGTTTGATCTTTAAACAGCCTGCCTTTAAATTACTGGCAACATGTTTAATTTGTATGTGTATGCAGTGTATGCATGTGTACACGCATACACACCCATGGAGGCTAGAGGTCAACATCAGGTGTCTTCCTCTGTTGCTCTCCTCCTTTTTTTCTTAGGACAGGGTCTCTCAATGAACCTACTTATGATCCAGTGGTAGGGTTACACACAAGTACAACCAACACCTAGCTTTTTTATCTAGGTGCCTGAGATCTTAACTCAGGTCCTAATCCTTGCCCAACAAATGCTTTACCAACAGAACCATATTTCTAGACCCAAGTTCAATATTTTTTATGCAAAAAAAAACAAAAACAGCATTATATATTTCAAACAAAACCTGTTTGGTCTACATTCAGCCTATCATCTTTAGCCTCTGGTTATATGAATAAATAGGCAAATCCATTAGTTAATACACAGAAGTAAAAAACATTTTATAGAATTTTATTATTAAACATTTTTGTATTTGACACTTCCCCCCAAATTCTTGCTCAAGAGCAAAGACTCCATTTCATCAAAAAGAAAAACCAAAGAGCTGGAAAACAGAACAAAGCAAAGCATAGAGATGGGCCCACACAACCATGCATCTTCTAAACCTATCAGCCACAATGAAGAGTAAACAATACTGCCCCTTAAAGCAGGCACCTAGGGGATGACATATGAGTGCCAAAATTATACCACATTTATACTACATGGTTGTGGCTCATGTAGAACTGAGAGTACCTTTGGCGGGGGGGGGGGGGTTTTTTTCATTTGTGTGATGTGTGTGCGCCTGTGTCAATAGGAGTATATGCCATGTATATGAAGGTGCCCTTGGATGCCAGAAGAGGATGTGAAATACCTTGGAATCAGGCAGTTGCAGTCACCTGATGTGGATGCTGGGATCCTCTGCAAGACTATGATGTGCTCTTAACTGCAGAGTCATTTCTCTACACCTTAGCAGACATTTAATACATGAAAAAGGGATATGTAATTTTTTTTTAAACTGCATTTTGTCAATTCCCCCAAATCCCACCAGTCTCTGAGTCACTTTCACTTCCCCCATTGATGGTGACCACACAAGGTTCTAAGTCTGTCTTGAAGCACTCAAACCCTGAATGGGAAAAATGGCTTAGGAGAGTCAGTTTATACAGAGAAAGTCTCACACCTATACTCTGACCTAATTATATCTAACCTAAATAAACATAAAACCAGGAAATAAAGAAAACACCTTATCGGGGAGGGGGGCTATCAGTACTCTGCCAAAGGAACAAAGAGAAAACTAAACTGGGTCAGGAATAGAGGATGTATTACCTGTCCTTGTTTCCAGCATTCCCTAAACACATTCCAATTGCTCTTGTTGTTGGGATCTTGCAAGCACAGCAGGCGGTTATCACACAGCCAGTAGTGAGGAGTGTCAAAGCCAAGAATGCTGGGCTTGATCGTCAGTCCTTGAGGTCTCTTAGATAAATCAGAGGAAGTCTTGTTTTGTACCAAAGAGGCAAAGATGTCATCAAGGATTTTGGGTGTGTTCTTGAGTCCATTTTCTGTCTGAATGTGATAAAGAACACACATGTTAAATACTCCATTCTGTACCTTTGAAAAACCCCCGTTCTTATAATGGTAGGATGAGTACATGCTACAAATATAGAAGAGTCCACATCAGAGCCCCTGGGCAGAGGCAACCCCTACTCATACACTCGGGTATCAGAAAGTGAAAACTGAAAAGCACAGCAGGAGCAAGTGGCTGGCCCATCCGGGAAGCCTGTGGAGCATCTTCTTCCTTCCCCACAAACACATGGTTCATGTCGCCTCTCCTACTTTCCGTTTCATGTCTCTTATCTCCTGTTTTGTCTCTACTCAACCTTGTACGGTGAGATGCAAATAATAAAACAAGCACATACCTTTCCTGTGGAGGAATTCAGGAGATTTCGAAGAAAACCAGAATTATTGTTGCTTACAGGTGTCAAAATTGTACTGTTAAAGGTGTGGAGGACTGTGCTGGATTTGCTCAGAGGAGGGAGGGGTGGAAGGCATTTGATTTCGTTCTTTAAAATTGGCATTGTTGGTTGTTTTTCTAAAAAAACAAAAAACCAAAAAATTCAGATTTAAAAGCATTCAAGGCAACTCCTTGCTAATCTTCAACTGGCAAAATGACTATAGGATGTGACTCCTAAAACCGAAGAATTCTAAAGAGTAATACTAATAGTGTTATTTAGTTAAGCAAGGATTTCCAGTTGATGTTTCTAAAAAAACCTCATTGATTTCGTGTGTATGTGTGTGTATACATGCACACATATATGAGAGCATGTATGTGTGGAGCTCAGAGGACAACTTTCAGAAGTTGGTTTGTTCTTTCCACCATGGGTTCTGGGAATTGAACTTACACCAGGCTTCTATGGCAAATGCTTTTTTACCACTGAGCCATCTTACTAGTCCCATAAATGGTATTTTCTAGATTTGTGCTATTTGTTCTGATATACAAAACACAACTATATAAATTCGCTTTGTATTTAGCAACCTTGAAAGATTTGCTTACAAATGTAGATTCTTTTGTATTTTGACATGTATTATCTACAAATACTGACAACTTTATCTTCTTTACATCCTTTTTTTCCTTTTCTTCTTTTCTGGCCTTGTAACACTGGTCACGACTCCTAGTACAATGCTTGAAATAATAACAAGAACCTTCATCTGTTTCCTAAGTACAGAGGGAAATTCTTAAAATAGTTTAAAAACAAGTCAAGAGGGACTGGAGAGATGGCTCAATGGTTAAGAGCACTGGCTGCTCTTAAGAGCAGAAAACCGGGTTTGATTCCCAGCACCCACATGGAAGTTAACAACCATCCGTTAACTCTAGTTCCAAGGGACCTGGCACCCCCTTCTGACCTCTGTGGACACTGCACGACACAGGTAGGTAATACACTAATACACATAAAAAATAAAAATAAAATATAATATTAAAAAAAAAATCAATTCAAGCCAGGTGTGGTGATGGCCACCTATGTCTTAGCTATGCAGGAGGCTGATGTAGTAGTATCAACTAAGCTCAGAAGTTGGAGAACAAACTGGGCAACTCAATGAGACACTGTTAAAAAAAAAAAAAAAAGCCGGGTGCACGCCTTTAATCCCAGCACTTGGGAGGCAGAGGCAGGCAGATCTTTGTGAGTTTGAGGCCAGCCTGGTCTACATAGTGAGTTCCAGGACAGCTGGGGCTACAAGGAGACCCTGTCTCAAAGACAAAAACAACAAAACAAAACAAAACAACCAGAGCCCCACAGCTTCCTGGAGCCAACAGCTTGCCTGGGTAAGTTTGGCTGCTGCACCCACTGTGCCCTGACTCCCCCCCAGCCTCATTCACCCTCTCAGCTCCCCCATCCCATCTCTCCTCCTAGCAGGGGCACTGGCCCATCTGTTGTTGTGACACCCCAGACCCTTAGCCCAGAATCTCCATTACTTCCTGTTCCTCTACGTCCAGACCAAATCAATTCCTCCCTGCAGTCCCCAGGAGCCCTTGGGCCTCTTCTTGCCCCCATCTCGCTTTGCATCCCGGGAAGGAGGGGGCAGCATCTTTTCTGGTCCCTGCTCCCAGGCCAGGCCAGCCCTCAAATTTCTGAGGTCAGCATCTTTCCTGGAGGGATCCAGACCTTAGGAAAAAGCTTGAGAGCATCTGTTACTCATCTGACTTGGGCCTCTGTGGGAATTCCTGAGCAGCAAGACGAAAGCAATTTGGCCACTCCAATATAAAACCAAAAGAGAGAACCTAAAGCCTAGACAAACCAGCTTTTCATGCCCAGCAAGTAAACCACAAAGGCACATAAAGTTTACAAAAAGAAGCAGACCTAAACTCTGCAAAGGAAGGCTTGAGCCTCACACAAGAACCAGAATCTACAAAAGAAATCCACATGTCAAAGTCACAGAGAAAAAAATAATAAAATGAAAAATCAAAATAATATATCCCCATCAAGTACCATCAGTCTTCTAGAGGAGTACAATGAGAACCCCTAGAGATAATACAGGACATGAAACTCAAAAGAACAATTATAAATATGATGAAAGAATTCAGTGAATTTAAAGAACACACAAAAAAGAAATCAAGAACTGAAAGAAAATAGGGATAAACTGCTGAATGAACTCAGAAAAGAGTTAGAAATATTGAAGACTACTCAGGCTGAAATGAAGGAAGTGAAACACTCAGTAAGCCAATTAGAAATGAGAGGAGAAAGCCTCACCAATAGGATGAATGAAATGGAAAACAGAATATCAAGACGGGAAGATAAAGTGGACGAATCAGACCACTCAAGCAAAGATTATGAAAAATTTAAGAAAACACAAGAATGGAATATGCAGGAATTGTGTAACACCATAAAAAGAACAAACTTAGGAATCATATGCATACAGGAAAGAGAAGACTCTCAGGATAATGGTATGGACCAGATCTTCAACAGGATTGTAGAAGAAAAATTCCCCAAATTAAAGAAAGACATGCCCATACAAATACAAGAAGCATATAGAACACCAAATAGGACCAGAAAAGGAACTTACCATGGCACATCATAGTAAAAACACTAAACGTAAAAAGAGACAATATGGAAAGGTGCAGAAGAAAAATAAGTCACATATAAAGGAAAACCCATCAGAATTACAGCTGACGTTTGAAACTATGAAAGCCAGAAGAGCCTGGACCAAAGTATTCCCAGTTCTGAATGACCACAGATGCCAACCCAGATTACTTTACCCAGACAAAATGTCTATTGTAGTCGAAGGGGAAAGAAAAATCTTCCATGACATAAATAAGCTGAAAGAATTCATGTCCACAAAACCAGCCCTTCAGAGTTCTTGAAGCAATACAAAGACCTGAAGAAAGGGCCGACAATTCCCAAGAGGTTACGGAAAGAAATTTAGTGAAGGTGTACTTTGGAAATGTTCAGCTACACAGGAATCAATACACATATTTCATTAATAACTTTAAATACCAATGGACTGAACTCCCCAGTGAAGGGGACTAAGAAACAAAACCCATCTTTTTGTTGGCTGCAAGAAACTCATCTCACTTTCAAGGACAGGCACTACCTAAAGGTGAAAGGATGGAAAAAAATATATCAAGCGAATGGTACTAAGAAAAAAGCAGGTGTTGCAATTCTAATATCTGACAAAATAGACTTAAACTAAAACTAATCAGAAGAGATAAAGAGGGCTACTTCATTCTGATCAAAGGAACAATAAACCAAGAAGATATTACAATCATGAAAATATATTCACCAAACTCTGGTGCACCCAACTTCATAAAAACAATGGTACAGGACTTTAATACCCAGATTAATCACAACTCATTAACAGTAGGGGACTTCAATGCCCCACTGTCTCTATTAGATAGGTCAACAGGGCAGAAAATTAACAGAGAGACATCTGAGTTAAACAATACCATATATCAAAAGGACTTAACAGACATCTACCAAGTATTCCACCAGAGCACCAAAGGACATACTTTCCACTCAGCACCGCACAGAATCTTCTCCAAAATCGACCATATACTGGGGCACAAAACAAACCTCAAAAAGACTGAAATAATTCCATGCATTCTATTAGACCACAATGCAATAAAGCTTAAAATCAACACCAGAAGAAACCCCAGTAACTACATGAACACATGGAGATTAAACAACACACTCTTGAATGATGAATGGGTCAAAGGAGAAATTAAGAAAGAAATAAAAATATTCCTCGAACTAAATGAAAAGGACAATACACACAACAAAACCTCTGGGACAAGTTGAAACCTGTCCTTAGAGGGAAGTTTATAGCTCTAAGTGCCTGTTAACGTCCAAGTCTGCAGACGACCCTCTCCCAATCTTTGCCACCTTCCACATTCCCCAGCCACCTTGTAAGAACTTCCTCAGCAGTCAGAAGGCTGCTGGTTCCCTTTCTCTCCCTGCTGAGCCGCCAGTCACCAGCAACCCTAAGAAATCAACTTTGCTTTACTGGAGTCCTCCTGTGTGTTCTGTGGCTATTCCCTGCCTGGCTTTTATCTAACAGTGCCTACATTAAAAAAACAGACAGAACACAAATAAATGACTTAACACTGCAACTCAAGACACTTGAAAAGCAACAGCAAATAAAGCCCAAATGCAGCAAACAAAAAGAAATAACAAATATCAGAGCAGAAATTGATGAAATAGGACCAAAGAAAACAATACAAAGAATCAACGAATCCAAGAGCTGGTTCTTTGAAAAGATAAACAGATTGACAGACCGCTAGCCCAGTTAACCAAAAGAAAGAGCAAATCCAAATCAACAAAATCAGAGATGAAAGGGGAAACATCACGACACCAAAAAGATCCAGAACATTATGAAGGAATACTTTAAAAGCCTATACACTACTAAATTCGAAAATCTAAAAGAAATGGACGGGTATTTGAAAGCATGGGAACCACCAAAACTAAACCAAGAAACATCAACAGCTTAAACAGACCCATAAACACATAAGGAAAATGAAACAGTAATAGTAATACAAAACCTCCCAGCCAAAAAAAGCCAGGACTAGATAGATTTACAGCAGAATTCTATCAGACGTTTAAAGATCTACATCCAATATACTTAATTTACTCACAAAGATAGAAATGGAGGGAGAACTTCCAAATTCTTTCTACGAAGCCAGTATCACTCTAATACCAAAGCTAGGTAAAGATGCAACCAAAAAATAAAGAAAACTATAGACCCATATCCTTAATGAACATAGATGCAAAAATTCTCAACAAAATACCTGCAAACTGCATACAGACACACATCAAAATGATCACTACCATGATCAAGTTGGCTTTATTCCATAGATGCAGGGATGGTTCAATATATTAAAGTCAATAAACATCATAAATCATATAAATGCACTCAAAGACAAGAACCACATGGTCATCTGAGTAGATGCAGAGAAGGCCTTTGACAAAATTCAACATGCATTTATGTTCAAAGTCCTAGAGGGAATTGGACTGGAGGAAACAATGCCAGACAGAAGATACCTTCCTTTGAGCTGCTGGCCAGGGTGGCCCAAGAGACTCCCAGCCAGTAACCCAGCATAGAACTGAGAAAATGAACAGCAGACCCCAATCCTATCTAAAGCAATATTGGCAACTGATTGCTGCTAGATGAGGAAGAGCTGTTTTAGGAAGATCTTCCTAAACAAGGAACTCTAGCTAGGGTGACTAGATTCAGTGGATGGACAAGCACTGTAGAATGGCTGGGGGGCACCGACAACACAGTTGGCAGTAACAGGGACTACAGAGTATAGGGGCTCCAGTGGGGAGTGGGGACTACGGGAGGGTGCCATTTGGGATGTGGGTATATAGATGAGTAAGACTGTTTGGGATGTTGTGTATGAAATACACACACACACACACACACATATGGGAGGGTGTTACCTGGGAAGTGGGTGTATAAATAAACAAAATAATAATAATAATTCTTCAAAACATAAAAATTTGCTCCTTATTAATTAGTAGATGTGAAAAACATTACCATTGAAATCTACCTTATGACTTTATATCCATGCTCAGATGCCAAGGAGCTCAGAAAGTAACTGACTGTGATTAGTAATAACCAGATATATAGAGATCAGAAACGCATGTGCATCTTAGTGTCAATTGTATTAAAAATGAATTTTTCTGTATGAAACTGCATATTTTAATAATGAAATGGAAATCTTTTTTAAAGTTTAAAACCTCATTTAATTTTATGTCTTATAGGGTTTATATGGAGTTCAATATTGTATAGCTGTATTAATTCAACTGTGAACCTAATAATTTACAGCCAATATTGAAAGAGATGCATCTTTGCTCTGGAAATTGTTACTGAATATGGTGATGCTGTAATGAAATGCTTCTTCTAATCATGTGGTTATTAAATAAATAAGTAAAGAAAAAAAAGAATTAATCATTCTCTGCTTCTTGATTGTGATATTATGTGACTGGCTGTGTCAAGCTCCTGCTGCCTTGACTTTCCTGTCATCATGGACTGAGCTTTGGAACTGTGAGCCAAAATAAACCTTTCCTTCCTTAAAAAAAAAAAAAAAAAAAAAGACACAAAAACTAAAAACCCCACACATTTACATGTGTCAGTATTTTTGTACTGTTTTAGAGACTCGTAACAATGTCCTCTTCTAATCTTGATTTCACAGTTTTTAACAAAAATGACAGGCATTAAACTTCATAGTGTAGCAGGTTATGGTGGTGAACACGTTTAATCCCAGTACTCAGGAGGCAGAGGTAGGTAGATCTCTGTGAAATCGAGGCCAGTCTGGTCTCTACAGTGAGTTCCAGGTCAGGTGGGGTGTTTCATCACTTTCTTCCTCTTAAACTTTTAGATATTCAACTTTGCTTGGTCATATATACAAGTCTTTTTTATGGTGTCAAATCTGATTCAGTAAAATTTTAACACATCTGTATGAAAGAAACTGACTTGTAATTTTCTCTTGCCAAAAAGCAAAATTACCTAAATTCTAATCTAATGCTTCATTCCAAAGACCACTTCTATTATCAAGCATTTCTGAGACAAGGATGCAAACGAAGACAGCTCATTCCAACTTAAGACAAAATAGAGAACAACAGAAAGTGAATAGCTGAGGGAACAATGCAGAAACAGGGTCAGAAAAAAAAATGTTAAGAGTCAGAAAATAGGGAAATGCCATCTTCTAAGTACCACACTGCCATGGCAATCATGAAGTTTCAGCAGCTGCACTTACTTATAGGCTCTGGGCCTATCTATACAAGTCTTGGCCTACCCAACAGTCAACTATGGATAGGGAAAGGGTTAATGGGGCCCTACCACTTACTGCTGAACTAGATTCTGGTAGGGTGGGAGGCATAGTATTCAGCTGTGTATCTACTGGAGAGCCCACCAGACTCTAATGGATAGTTTCAAACCCAAGGTCACTCAGACAGTCCTAGTTAAAACCCTGTGGGACATGAGTATGGGAAAGGGAATTGAAAGGAAGAAGTAGTACTGGCAAGAGTAAGAGGGAAATAAGAGAGAGCAAGGGTCAAAGTATCTAGCATTATATACATGTATGAAATATTTTGGTTTTCATTTGTTTGTTTGTTTAAAAGTTTCAGCACTGCTCCATTCTTGCCAAACATGATCTTAACATCACCTAAAGTTCTATGAGCAGAGAAAGTTCTCTTCTCTGGTTCTCTAGTGCTGCACTTCAACAGTTTCACTGCTGGCAAGCACCCAGATGCCAGTAAGAGAATACTTTCTATGATATAATATTTCTAGTCCCTGTTCTTACAGCAGCTTTGGCTGCTAAATCCCTCTGTGAGTGGGCTCAGGTACTCAGGAGCAAATAGTAAGGTGGGAAACACTCACCCTTGTTCTCCTTGTTGACATTCCCTGTAGTGAGGTCCGCCAGCCAGTTTAAAGGTGAAGTGCTGGCTGGACAGGCAGGCTTCATGCTGCTGGTTGGCTTGGAGACTGCTTCCCCACCCACAGTGGCTGTCTCCAGTACAGAGGGGGTACTCTGCTGGAGCATGGTCCCAAGAGTTGGTTTTTCTCCAGTTAAGGATGTCTGTGTTAAGTGTAAAGGGAGACCAACATAAGATGGAGAATGACATTTTCCTTTTCTTACCTTTTTCCCTAACAGCTCACTAGTAAGAGATAAATAAAGCAAAGCTAACTGATAAATAGCCTTAAATACCCTAATTATAGTAATTCTCAGGCACTAACTTAGTAGAGTGGCAAGGACAAGCTACATTTTCATTTTTAGTTTCTAAGTGTTACTAATAAAAACATAAGATATGCCGGGCGTGGTGGCGCACGCCTTTAATCCCAGTGCTTGGGGATTAGGGGCAGGATTAGGGCGCACGCCTTTAATCCCAGCACTTGGGGGGGGGCAGGATTAGGGCACATGCCTTTAATACCAGCACTTGGGAGGTAGGGGCAGGCAGGTCTCTGTTAGTTCAAGGCCAGCCTGGTCTACGTAGTGAGTTCCAGGACAGCTGGGGCTACAGAAGACCCTGTCTCAAAAAGAGCAAAAAAAAAAAAAAAAAACCCGTAAGATATAATAACATATACAGGTATTCCCCTCACCCACTCACCTTGGTAGGCTTGTGTATATATCCCTATTGCCTCATATACCATGCACCTTTAAAATGAGCAATTTGTGTCTATTATCCCTGAAAACTCAGCAAACATCCAGAGCAAGCTCTCAAAATATGCTTATTGCAGGGGCATAGTGGTGCCACACCTTTAGTTCCAGCACCCGGGAGGCAAGCGGATCTCTGTGAGATTCAGTGAGACCAGCTTGGTCTAGGTGGTGAGTTCCAGGCCTGCTGTGGCTACTACAGGGAGACCTTGTCTCAAAAGGACCAATAACAAATCGAACAAACAAACCATCATACTTATTAAGAGGGAATAAATGAGGTAAGAAGGAAAACTAGGGTTTCAGAAGGAAACAGGACAAAGAGGGAAAATGCTCTTTTGATTCAAGATTTAAAATGTGATGAGGAGCTCTTAAAAGAACGTCAACATAAACTGAAGCAAATAAGAAAGAGCATACCACTTACTCTGTTACTCAGCTGGGATAGCTTACACAAGTATCAGAAGGAAAAAAAGGAATATTCAAATTCCTATGGGCCTCCCTTAAATGTGATCTGCTTCTGTGCTGCCCAGTCACTAGTACAGTTCTTTACTCCTTTCTCACTGATCAGCAAGCTGAAGTATATGCAACCTAGTCTGTGTGAGCCAATGCAACCCACCCAGAAAGTGACGGTAAAAATGCAAGCTCGAGGCAGATAATCTCTTTTGGCGTTCCAGGCCAGCCTGGTCTATAAAATGAGCCAGGACTATACAGTGAGACCCTTTCTTAACAAACAACAAAATCACAGATAAGGCACATAAAACAAAGAATGGAAACATGATTCTCAAAAGTCATGGACATGAATGAAGCCTCTCCACCCACTCATCACTGTCTTGTGCTACTTTCAAATACACTGACAAAAATCCTTGAGTCAGCTGAAAAACAGACAATAATCACAAGGACGGTAAACTCAGCATTAGCAGCAATACCTGTTTCAGGTCTTCCTTTGAGGCAGGCTTTGAAAAGAGCTTGAACTGCCTATTCGAGCAGGGACAATTTGCTTTTATTCCCCACTTTGCTCTTATAGAGTGCACAATGTCTCCAACATCATAGAGGGCTAAAACAAAGGACAGAGGTGACAGTTAAGGTGGCGTCATATACTTTCAATCTGAAAAGAGGTGACCTTTCCCACAGGACTGCTTTTCTCAGCGGCAAAATGCTCCAACCCTCCTTTTCATCCTGCCTTCCCCAAATACACCACTTTCTTTCCTTCTACAAAACTATCCACAAGGCCTTAAAAAGTGTAGAGACATCATTAATGTATTTCTGGACCGTTTTCTTAGAACAATACTAAAGTAAAACCAAATTATCAGCCCCTGGAAATTAACCAAGACACAGGGTGGTGGTGGTGTGTTGTGTGAGAGAAATCCTTGCCCCACAGGAAATACCTTTGCCAGGAATGATCTGTGTGGGCATCAGGTTCTCAGGCTCATGAATCTGACTCTTCACACACCTTAGCCAATTGAAAGTCTTGTAGGCAGCACCTGCAAACAACTGATTTGTGGTTACTGTTCTCCATGAACCCTGTAGCACCAATGCTTCAGAAACCCACCAACCACAAATCAATGAAAGGCTTAAGTCCAGTGTGTTAGGAGTTGGAGAAGACTCAAGTAAATTCTCACCCTGTTGGCAATTTTTCCTCTTCATCCTGTAGCAATCTACACACACTCCAAACCCACACCGAGGGCACACCCAGTGTAGGTTGAAGATGGTGGTGTCACACACATCACACATTTCTCGAACACCTTTGACAGCCCGCTTCCAAGCAACCTGTCCTGCAAGAATCAATAAGACATTCAGTCGTTGGGGAGAGGACTTTTGAGTGGGCCTGAGTCCTCCCTGTGACTACAATCTCCACTTAATCTGTTCAACCTCATCACAAATTCTGATGCCCTATAAAGTGATTCTGAATCCTTCAACACTCTCATTAATGAGCACTGACATTACCCACTCAGGTTTGCTTCCACTAGATATACTCAGGCATAGTTCTTCCTCCCCAAAGATGCTATACTGCTGTGCAGTAGCAGTTACACAGGTGGAACTTAGCCACAGGTATCCCACAGGTCCAACCTCATGAATCCTCTAGCAAATTTCAAGGCAACATAGACTAGGCTTTCTCTAAGAGGGGGTGGGAAGGACAAGATGTACTCAGATACACAAACCAAACAAGAAGCATTATTCACAGATGCTCTCAATTCACACAGATTACCCACTGAAAGTCATGAAGGGAGCAGCACATTACCTTACTACAGGACACAATTGAGGTCAGTTCCTTCAACAGCCAGTCAGAAACATGATTATACCAGTGCCAAGAATGATGTTTGCTAGTACACAGGACTGATCCATACTAACCAAATACGCAACAGACTGAGACACAACTCAGAACTTTATAAAGCATTCTTCTCCATTCCAGAAGCCAAACCCGGTAACACTGGAGGGAGGGGTCTCCAAAACCTGGCAAACTTTTCCACAATGAAAACTCTCAACAGGGCAGAGTACCTAATCAAGTGCCACATCAGGTTATCAAACGGCTTCAGGAGGCAGATGGGGAAACACATTTGTTTGAATCTCAGAAAAGCCCAATGCTGCAGATCAGAAGATTCTTCAGTTACTGTCTCCCAGTCTCTTCTAATACCACTGAATCAATACTGTAGCTTCTTGTTCTACAGAGACATATATTTTCCTAATCCAGTTTGTGGTTATTTAATTCTTTACCCTGAACACAACACAAATAACCAAATTTCAATTTTCACTAACCTATTCCAACCACTGAGGGAGTTACTACTGCACTATAATGTAGTAGCCCAAGCACAAAGCCTAAAAGCTTCAGGCATTTTTAAGTAAGGTCGTATGGACTTCATCCTAGTTATCTGGCTTAGACTGTTTCATTAGAAAATTCTTAGATCTCCTGGCCATTCATTTAAAGATTATTTATTCCAGAGAAGAATGAAGTTTAAGAGTGGACACTTATTCTTAGTATCAGGATGGGGGAAGCCTCCTTGCTAGGGTGGGCATCAGTCATTACCACTCATGGCATTTAGTTTCTTTCTCTAATCTGATCAGTTTGTTAAAACAGAGCAACAGGATAATCACAAAGGCTTGGTCTTCAAGGAGAGAATTCCTTACTCAAATGCTTAAAAGACAACTTCCTGTGCATTTTTTTTTTCTGTATGGAAAAAAATACCTTTAGGAAAGAGACGCCTCACTTATTTAAAACAGGTCTGATGAATCACAAGGGAAGCAACTTTACTTCAAACAAGTGTCTGTACAATGCAGTCAGGTATGAACCAGAAGAGTTACTTAAATTTCTTTACATTCATTACTTTTACCCAAACATATTTAAGAAAGAAACCTTATTATCATTAGTGAAAATGGAAACTTTGTATCACTTGTCCTATAGATCACAGGGAAAATAAAAGTTTAATAAGATCTTTTGACTTATGAACATGCAGACAGAATGACATAATTCTAAAGCTGCTCTTCCTTTCAGTATAATTTCAGCAGTCCCCAAAGCTCCCAAGTCCCACACCTCTGGATTCCTGCTACTGGTTCCTATTCTTCAAATCCTGAGAAATATCAGGATCCATGCCTGAAAAATACTGTTTTTGTCCTGGTTAGCTTCAGTTAGTTTCTGGCAAGTACAACAAAATTCTTAAGAACGGCATGGATGCTTACATTCAAACACATTTGGTTATATATCTAAAATCTATTCTTTTAGTATGTATATACTAAAAGAATGGAAAGACAACTTTCTAGTCATTTGGGGATGATAAAATGATGGAAGAAGCTATGAGGCTTTTAAGGCATGTGACCTATGGTGCTTCTGGCTGGATGTCTCATTTCTACAGAGCATTGGGACAGGGAAAAATGTGTTGTCCTCCCAGACATCCTACATGAGATGACTCAAAGGAGGCTTGGCTCTCATGTGTTAAACACTGGTCCCTGTAGCTAACTAACTAGGCTACAAATTAGTAAGGAGTGCTCCCAAAGAATGGAGGACACAGACACCAAGCTAGCAGCTCCAAGTCATCCTTTCAGACTCTGGTATGTAATGAATCATTTCCATCTGAGCCGGTTCATATTCTCACAGTTGGGATCCGGTCTTGCAGACTCTGACTCAGGAGGCCTAGGGTAATAGCCTGTCTGTCCTTATCTTCTTTGCAATGTGTTGTGGATTAAGAATCTTAAACCAGTCTGAAGCCTCACCCCCTCTGGTGAGGCTGTGCAAATGCTGCCACTACCACCTCATCTTGAACTTTCCCAACTAAAGAGGAGCTTTACTCCTTTGCTAACTGTCCCCAAATAAACCCCATAGACAGGAGACCAATTCAGATGAAATCTTTCTCAAAATGAAAACTGTAACCTCACTATACCAGTCATCTAGACTTCTGGTGAAAATGAAACCCATGCAATTAGGATTCACGTGTCCTTAAGAGACAAAATTCAAGTTGGACTCAAAAATCCTACCCCCTAAGAGATGCTCTTACTGTGTGGCTCAATAGTTGACATAGCTTCCTTTTCAGAAATCACCATTTGACAAAAGTGGTCTCCAATGTTGGCCAGGATATATTTTGCTGTGTCCAAATCAGTCCCCACAACATTTTTGGTCAAAGGGAGCCACAAGCCAATTGCTTCACTGTCATACTTGTTTGGTGTTAAGAAGCCTTCTACCCGCAACACACCATGTTTGTTGAATTGTAACCTAGAAGTGAGGAAAACACAAAATTGGTTTACAACTTGTAATTACTGTGTGAATACCATTTCAATAAACAAAGCCCTCCTCATCTTTTGTACTCTTCATGGTTAATTACAGTCAATTTTTTGATGGCGTCTCTAGGAAGATTTTAAAATATTTAAAAATAAAACTAAAGGTTATTTGTTTTTCCCCAGAAAGGGAAGCTAAAGAGGGGTGGAGAGATTGAGGGAAAGATGTCTCCAAAAACGATCTCAACCTATCAGACTTGGGACTTCACAACAAAGACTAATTACAAAATAGCAGGAGAAAACAACCAACCAACAGTGAAAGATAATCTAATCAGATCTGACTACAACTACTGCTTCAAGAATAACACTCAGCAAGAGAAGGGACTTCTAGACAGTCACTTAAGCTATGACCACAAAGATCTGGGAGGTGTTTGGTACCCACATGTCCCTTAGCTGCACATCCCAGTATATGCTCCTAGAACAAGAGGTAGCATTGAGATGGGCCTCAGAACCTAAGAAGTAGAACAATTAAAGGCAGAACACTTTCCCAGTATTTGTTTTCAATATTCTAACATTTGGATGGTTTAAAAAGCTATGTATTAAATTTTGACTTTTTTGGAAAATAACATTTTATTTTTACTTGGAAGCATTAAAAGCCCTCCACAGTTTAGTAGCGTATGAGACATCACTGACAGTCAAAGGAAAAAGTGTTGAGTCTGAGTTCAGTGGGACTAACAAAAAGAAGACTTTAGGGTAGAGACAGTAACTGAGCTTGCCTTGTCAGAAAAGGAGACATTAAGAAAGAAAAGGTACACTCAGGCAAAACACCCTTTACAAGCAAGGAAAGGTAAGTGAATTGAGCAACAGACTAGACTAAAGTGAAGTGTTTATTTGCATTGGTAAGAATCACAGAATTTAGGACTAATTGCTAAAATTCTTCAATATTTTGCTGGGGACCCTGACTTCTTCACCAGTCAACTGGGTAACTATCTAAACTCTTTGAATCTATGAAACACATGAATTAAATGTTAGAGAAACCATTTGTCAAGTGAATATGAACAAAGTACAATACACATGTATGAAAATGTCATGATTAAACTCATTATTTTATACACTTAAAGGAAATACAAGTTTATAATGGATGGCCCAAATTAAGAGACAGTCACTTCACTAAAAAAGAAAAAAATCTAAAGCTGGACACGTTTGTGGACACCTGTAATTCCAGCACCTGGAATGCTGAGGCAGGAATATCAGCAGTTCAAGGCCTGCCCGGGCTAGAGCTGAGTTCAAGGCCAGCCTGTGCAACTTAGTAAGTCCACCCCAAAATTATTTAACAAGTAAAAAAGAAGCTAGGGAGAGTGGTACAGTGCTCGCCTACCATATAGGAAACCCTAGGTTCAATCCCCATACTGAAAGACAAAAGAAAAACATTTTGTGATTTCTCAAAATGCATTTAAGTACAAATGCCTGTGCATATAAACACTCTTTTATACTTGAAAGAATAGAGTGATTTTTTTACTATTCTGGACCAGGTATTATTCAGAATACGTATTAACATATGCGTATGTGAACATATGTTAGCAGTATCACAACTCTAAATGCTGGATGCTTTTGCAATTTCCTTAGGAGTGCATTAGGCAAACTAGTATCTGAAATACCTGTACTTGACTAAGTAAGCTAAATGTGAAAATTACTTTCAGACAAACCTAGTGAGTATACCGTATACAATTCCTGATCTATAACAGGAACCTCTAAGTGATTTAAATTACCTGTGCATTTAATACAACTCAGCAATTTTTCAACTTAGATTTTTATCTTACAGTGAAAAAGAAAGAAAATAAGAAATGAAAGCAACACTTGTTTATTATTAGAACTAGTTGAACCAGAAAGTATCTTGACTTCTCAGGGCTGGAGAGATGGATCAGTGGTTAAAAGCACTGACTGCTCTTGCAGAGAACCCAGGTTTGATTCCCAGCACCCACATGGCGGCTACGAACCGTCCTTAACTCCAGCTCTAGGGGGTCCGAAGTCCTCTTCTGACCTCCGCGGCACTACACAACAGGGGTGCACTCAATACATGCAGGCAATACACTCATACACATAAAATAAAAAATAATAAATAAAATACTTTTTAAAAAATATTTTGACGTCTGAGAAAGTGTTATTATATCTAAGCCTCTTCTATACTCAGGTAATTGTTCATTTATGTCTCAAAAAAACAGAACTCAGGACAAAAGAATTTGAATGAAATCAACCTGACTTTTAAAAAAGTATAATATAAAGATGAAAGCTTGTCTATAACGTAAACATTAAAAAAATCATGTTTCCCCTCATGTGAGGAATTTAGGTTTGAAAAAAATAGAACAAAGAAGAAAAGGGACTATTTGGAAAGAGAGAAGGGAACAATGGAGGTTATGAGAGGGTAATTAGGAGATGAACACAAAGTACATTACATAAAGGTAGGAAAAGGTCCTCATGAAACCTATGACCTTGTAAAATGAATACATGCTAAGATATACCACTGGCAGAATAAAAGACATCAATGGGAAGTGATGACTATTTTAAAAGGATTAAGAGAACTTTAAATTACAAATAGCTACCAAGTCATTAGACACTGATACTTTTCTAACTCTGGGGTAATTTTCCTTTTTTAAAAAAATATTATTTTATGTGTAGGAGTATATAACCTGCATGTATGTAAGCGCACCGATGTTGTGCAATGCCCACAGAAGTCAGAAGAGGGCATGAGATCCCCTAGAACTGGAATTAGGGACAGGTGCTGGGAACTAAACCTGGGATCCTCTGCAAGAGCAGCCAGTGCTCTTAACCACTGAGGCCCCTCTTCAGCCCTGGGATAGTTTTTTGTTGGTTTTGGCTTTTTGAGACAGGGTCGCCATGTAGACCAGGCTGGCCTCCAACTCTCAGGGATCCTCCTGCCTCTGCCTCCTTAGTGCTGGGATTAAAGGAGTGCACCATCACACCCGGCTAGTTTTTTTAAAAGAAATATTTTACTTATTTTTATTTTATGTGTATAATGTATTGCCTATATGTATGTAAGTGTACCACATGTATGTAAGTGCACCTGTGTCGTGTTATGCTCAGAAAAGGATGTCAGAGCCTCTGGAATTGGAGTTATGGACAATTGTTAGCTGCCATATGGGTGCTGAGAATCGAACCCGGGTTCTCTGCAAGAGCAGCCAGTGCTTTTAACCATTGATCTCCTCAGCCCATAATTAATTTTTCTAACACTTCTATAAAACTCATGTTACTTTGGTGAAATTTGGTTAAGTTCTGATTCTTTTTTAATTGTTAAAGATGAAGAGACATTCTTAACAGATTATTTTAGGCAAAGAAAAACAACCATTTGTCTACTTTTAAAAAGTCAGTTTATAGGGACTGGAGAGACAGCTCAGCGGTTAAGAGCACTGACTGCTCTTGCAGAGAACCTGGGTTGGATTCCCAGCACCCACATGGTGGCTATGAACCATCCTTAACTCCAGTTCCAGGGGAATCTGAAGCCCTCTTCTGACCTCCGCAGCACTGCACGACACGGTGGTGCACTCACATACATGCAGGCAATACACTCATACACATTAAAAAAAAAAAAAAATCAGTTTATGAATAGTGATTCAATTTTTTGGTTAATTGGAGTTTAATTTATCAGTTGATTTATACTGATAGTTAACATGTCCATTTTATCTTATTGGGGTGCTGTTTGATGAATACACTTAAATAGAAGTAGAACAGAAGACAGTAGCACTCTACAAAGAGAAAAGTCAACCAATTACATAATGAGCAAATTCAAAAGGATGAGAAAGGAAAAACATATGTGAACAAGAAATCATACCCACACACCCCTCTTTGCTGACCAAGGAACACAGATCAGGCATGCTGGACCCCTGCCAGAGGCCATGAACAAAGGTGCACCCTTCCTATAGGGCAATTTGGCAGAGCATGTCCATCACAGCCTTAACACACACCTTCTGACCCAATACTACTACTTCTAGGAATCTTCAAAGTAAGTTGTCAGAGATGTAGACAAAATAATAAATTCTGTATTATTGCTAGTTGCAAAATATTTACAAAATGAGCTGGGCATGGTGGTGCATGCCTTTAATCCCAGCACTTGGGAGGCAGAGGCAGGTCAATCTCTGTGAGACAACATGAGCCTGGCCTTCTATATAGCTCATTTTAGGCCAGCTGGGACCACAGGGAGACCGTTATCTTTAAAAAAAAAAACACCCTCACCAGGCGTGGTGGCGCACGTCTTTAATCCCAGCACTTGGGAGGCAGAGGCAGGCGGATCTCTGCGAGTTCAAGGCCAGCCTGGTGTACATAGTGAGTTCCAGGACAGCTGGGGCTACAGGGAGACCCTGTCTCAAAAAGACCAAAAACAACAACAACCCCTCCCCCCCAAAAAACCTCTCAATACTAATAAGGGAGATGAAAGTTTGCTACAATAGGTTTTAGTATTATCTAATATAGCATCTAACACAGAAATTCAAAAGTATTTACAGAAAAAAAAAGATGAAGACAATCAAGGGTTCTTACACCTGAAGAAATGTTATGACCACCCAAACACTAAAAATTCAATTTAAAAGTTAACAACAGTTCAGTTCTTGGGAAGCAGAGGCAGGAGGATCTCTGTGAGTTCAAGGCCAGCCTGGTCTACATAGTGAGTTCCAGGCCAGCTGGAGCTACAGGGAGACCCTGTCTCAAAAAGACCAAAAAAAGAGTTAACAGTTATCTGCACTGATTTTCCAGAATTTTCAGCCTTTTTCTATGGCAGCTATTTTTATAAATAGAAGTTTGTATTTTTCAAGTTTTGCCTTATAAAAAAATTGAGGGTTGGGGATGCAGTTCAGTTGGTAGAACTGCCTAGCACGCATGAAGTCCTAATTCCACCCTCAGTTTGGCATAAACCAGGCATGTAATCCTAACGCTTGGAAAGTAGAAGCAGAAGTATCAGGAGCTCAGGGTCATCTCTGCCTACATAAATAAGTTCAAGACCAGCCTAGAATGAGATAGATAGATGATTAAATAGATAGATAGATAGATAGATAGATAGACAGATAGATAGATAGACAGACAGACAGACAGACAGATAGATAGACAGACAGACGATAGAGATTGGATGAGATTGAAAAAATGTACAGTGAGTTCTAGATTTCTAAGCCCGCAGATTAAAAACACAATTTCTACATTCAAGATGTGCTGTTGATAGAGGAAAGTTATATCTAATAAGGCCTAGATTATCTGAGTTTTCCCTCAAATGCTTCACCTCCTGAAGTGAAAGAAGCGACAGAACACAGGGGAGTCCTTCTGCTGCTCCTTGTCCTTGCGCAGACTGTCTAAGCGACATTCCCGGCACTTGGGTAGCTGTGCCACAATGTTCACACAGGAGTCATCCTGAACAAAGGCCTCTCCACTCTGCTGCAGCTTCTTGAGTTTATCTGGGTCTGTCAAAACTGACTTCCTGGCTGGGGCTAGGAAAAGAAAGGAAATGAAACCTGAAGTTCTGAACATCAACATTTGACTGAATTCTAATTAAAAAAAAATCAACACTCCCAAAGAAAGAACATCTTCCTACCTTTTTGGTTCAAATGAAATTTCTAGAATAGCTCAAAAGATAAGTAATGAGACAACTAAAAAAGTTATTTTCTTTGTGAAACAATCCCCATTTGCTAAATCCATTTGACAACCTAAGACCCAAATTCAACAGCCAAAGTCAATGTGCGTGTCTGTCTATTCACAATCTACAGATGAGAGAAGCATGCTAGAACGACTTTTTCCAACTCATATACTTACTGCAAAGTTACTGAACAGCACTAGTAAGCAGACACAGGCTCAGCCTACACAAGCCTGACTTTGGGGATGGCAGTTCTGTCTCTTTCCATACTCAAAAAGAAACTGGTTTAAGATGTGTTTTCTAAAGTACTCTAAACAAAAGCTAATCAAAATAAAAACCAAATAGTCTTTCTATTGGTCTATGACAAGCAATTTTCTAAACGCTCCCGAAGACATCTAACATGTCTTCCATCTGCTACAAACATATACTTCTTTTCAGATTACGAACACTGATTAAGGAAAGGATTCTTAAACGCACTTCTAGGTTTTAACTTGTAATTGACATAATTGTAAAGGAAATGCTAATACAGTTTCTAGAGGAAAAGAGAAAGGTAGAGATCTCATGGTAAAGACCAATGGCATCTAAAAGCCAAGAACCTAAAGGAGTATTTCACAGAAAAGACTTTTCCTCAAAGTCAAAATGGAGGTGAGAAGAGGTGGAAGTGTGTTCTTTGGCAAAAATAAATGAACCAAAACCAAAAAATTTCTGGGGAACCAGGTGGGAGAGGCCAACCTTGAAGAAATTTGGAAAAAAGATCCCAAACTAAAAAAGGTTTAAACGAAATGAGTGCCTTCAATAATTGCCTTAAAGGGGATCTAACCCTACCTCTTTTAAAGCAGGAATAAAGCACACTAAAATGCTAAACAATGCTGTCAGTCCTTGCTTCTTTGAAAATTTTTACTCAGATTGAAAGATACAGTAAAGTAAGGAGGAAAAATAATAGCACAGTGCTGGAATTTTAATTTCTCAGACACTGAAAGACATCATCCTTTTGAGAATTGGACCAGGCTTCCACAGATTTTAGGTTGAATCCAAAGGTTATTTTATTTGATCTGGCTTTAAAAAGGAAGTATTTATAGATAATCACGTTGAACAGTCTAAATCTAGTTTAGTGAAAACAGTATCAGTGATTCTCAACTTACAGCAAAGCCAAGAAAAAAGGATAACCCTACTTCCAAGGAGCCAAACTGAACAAAGGCAGCTAACTTGATTCCAGCTGGCTTTTGCTCTGTAGCCCCTGAGTAGTGCAGAATTCTTTTCCCTACCCACAACCACCAGTATTTGAACACAGTCCAAAGATTCCAGTGAGCTTTCAATTCCATGCTCACACCTTAGCCAGTTACTGTAGATGGCAGCATGTGTTAATCCAGGATGTACAGCTACACTTTTTCTTTAAAATCACGTCAGATACAGAACAGCTGCACAGCACAGTGAGACATAGCTGGACTCCACAACTCATTCAGGTACCTGTGCATGTGTTTACCCAACTAGGACTTTCACTGCTTCACAAAAACTAAACTGATTTGTTTCAAAATTAGCTGTGAGGATTGATGACTCAACAAGATTAAGTAGAACAGATATATGGTAATGAATATTCACCTTCTTTTGGGAGTTACATAACTCCTGAAAAACAGTATGAATCTTATGCAATTAATTTTAGGCAAACTAACAGCTATATTAGCTTAAGCCTCAAGAATGACAAAGTTGGGTTAGAAGAATCTCTAGGCAAAGGAGTTTCTTTCTATTCTTCCAACTCTATACTAAAAAGATATACAAGCTGATGCAACAATTTTGCCTTCTACATTCAGAAGTCAACTATAAAAAAAACTATCATGGGTATATGCAGTTCTTTTTGTGTTTGCATATGCACATGTGCCATGACACAAGTTGTAGCAATCAAAGGACAACTTTCAGGAGTTGGTTCTTTGCTTTCACCAAGTGAGTTCTGGGGAATGAACTCAATCACACTTGGGGGTAAGCATCTTTACCCACTGCGCCATCTCACTGGTCCCTATGTTCATGTTTTTGCTTAATAGAATGTTTCTGTTGTCGTTTATCTGCTTAGGTTTTTAAAAAATTTACAAAATCCACACTGACTTTCCACACACCTGATAATTTAGGTATCTCAAACTGCAATAGCTCTGAACCTTTTAATGTGCCGAGGTCATTTCAGTCTTCTAATTTCAATCTTCTAATGGCGCTTCTGATTACTACTATCATTAAAATGCACCTCCAAACTCACTAAAAGTACAAGTTGAATAATCCTAATCCAAAATGCTAAAGACAAGAAGAGCTGACATTTCTAGATTTGAAATATTTGTAAATATTTAATGAGATACCTTGGGAATGGGATCTAACTCTAAACATCAATCACTGGTTTCATAGATACTTTAGAGATACATGGATACAGCCTGAAGGCAACTATGTTTTCAGTGTGCCTGCACTCTGCACTGTTACCACAACCCCAACACATGAGGTAAAAGTGTGGTATTTTGAACTCGTGTTATGTCTGTGCTAAAAGAGTTTCCAATTTTAAGATGTGTGGGATTTTGGATTAGGAATGCTCAACTTGTAAATATGAAATACAACATACCATCTTCTCTACACTAAGGGTACTTAGTTTGACAGGTGAATGTAGCTAACTCCCCTTAACAACTCTCCTTTGTGTTTCACGAAACTGTCCTTGACACCTTTAACCGAAAATCTTTTTTCCAGAATGACCATTAATTCTGTATCTAAAAACCCTAACAACCATGTATAAGCTACCTAAAAGAACACAAAGTCTCACCTCTTTCACTCCCGACCTGAATGCAACAAAGACAGCAACAGCCTAAAGATAAAGTAATCTTAAAAGTGTATAGGCTTAATATGCAGGATTCAAATGTTAATAGACATTCATACTAATTCACAGGGTAAAATGAATTCCTTTGTAGAGCATTACTTCTTGAAACTTGTTCTCCAGTTATTTTCATATTTTGATCATGGGACAAGAAATAAATACACACACACACACATATACATAAAACCATTTATCAATAAAGATATTTAGAAACACTTACGATTCTGGGTTTTATTGCTGCTTCTTGTACAACAGCTTTCATTATCTACTTTTACTGATGTTTCCTTGGAATTCTGCAATTGGTAACCTAAACTTGAAGGTTCTACTTTTTTTTCTACACAACTATTAAGGCTATTGATATCTGATTTCACTTCTGGTTTATTTGAAAGGTCATCAGATGTGGAAGCTGCATGTTCTAGATGCTTCTGCAGTTCAGGAGTACTGGCAATTTCCAATTCTGCCTTAGAAGAAGCCTTTGCAGGTAAGCACTCCTTGGGAAGGCCAGTCACTGGTTGTGGAACAGACTCCAATCTGTTTTCTGGATCAGTATTTGTTTTAGGCTGGATACAGCTACCTTTGGGCTCACTCAGAATTTTCAAGTCTCCAGTTCCAACCTGAGATTTTGAAGAAAGCAATCCTGCTTTGCAGACATCTGGTTTTGTTCTCAGTATTTCAGGCTTTGTGTTTAGACAGGAAGAAAGTTCTTCCGGTAAACTCTGCTTATGACATCTGAAAAACATAATATGGAAAAGTAGCATCCAGGTCTCTTTTATATCTTACCATCCAAAAATAATTTGGTTTGTTGTGGCAACCAGCATGAAAAACAAATGAAAACTGCTTATGGTAGTAATTTTCAGATAGTTTGTGAGCAGGAGTCAAGAACAAAATCCATCAGTGGCTCTGAAAAAGTATCTTACATGCTCAGAATAATGCAATCCTAAATGTTCCCTGTAAGATCTCATAAAGCTTTAACTGCTTTAAGTTCTATTTCTTACAGCATAATGAACCTTAGCTTTCCCTCAAAGCAAACAGTATTTTTATATGGAACCAGAAAGTACATTCAACAATTAAGAAACTCAGTGGTTTTCAATGTGTCAAATTATAAATCTATGCAAGACCAATTATGAAGTTCTTTTCTCTTTCTTTGTTCTATTTCAGAAAAACCTTTGCTGAACTCTCTTATATAACAAAAATTACATTTAAATTTAAAAGATAAAACTAATATTCTTGTTGCCTGTCAAAACTTGGAAACAATTTCACTGCAGGCAAATGTATTAAGATATAAACTTTATAATAAAATATGTATGCATATTAGAAATCCCTGCAAAGCTATGCATATTAAATATAAATTTAAAACTACCATCAGCAGCACAAAACCTTGTCTTGCTATAAACTGAATCCAGGAACGGCCAGGACTCAAAACAAATAGCAGTTTATTGATTAGTTGCTGCCAATGGAAACTACTTATTTCCCATTTCTTACTAAGGACATCCTTGAAAAACTTTCGTTTCAAAATCCATACTAGGAGTTCTTTGTCCAGCAAAGCACAAGACTCTTTTTCTCTCTTCCCTCTTCTCTTTCCTTTCTTTGCCCTGTTTCTAATCCAAGATTTCGTTCTGGAAAAGGATTTCTCATTTAAGCATTCAAATTTGAAATCTGTGTTTGGATGTCACTAAGTTTTCTATCATGTTGCCCTTCCCAGTGTATGTGCACACACATGCATGCATGTGCTAAAATAAACACTTCTCAATTGGCAGCTGTGTCACTATTCTCCCAGCTCCATCCTAGGGTGCCACCCACTTTTCTCCCAGGGAAACAATGTGCTCTGCCACTCTCCCACAGTTTTGTGGCTGTCTTTCAAACTGACTTCTGACTTTTCTATGCCATAGTCTCTCTGCCTTGTAGCTTTCTCAGTCTTGTACCTTTTTTTTTTTTAAACTTTCAAAATTTTATTATTTTTATTCTATGCGTATACTGCCTGCATGTAGGTAAGTACACCTGTGTCGTGCAATGCCCACAGAGGTCAGAAGAGGCTGTTGGATCCCCTGGGACAGTTGTTAGCTACCATGTGGGTGCTGGGATTCAAACCCGGGTCTTCTGCAAGAATAACCAGTGTTCTTAATTGCTGAGCCATCTCTCCAGCCCCTCTTGTACCTACTTTAAACATCTAGTTAAACTTCACATTTCTTGTTTTCTTCAACTGTAAACTGACTGGCAAAGGCATTGTTTCCTTATGTCTATTTCTTAGAATCTCCTCTTTAGCCCCATTTTGATCCATAACAAGGGTTCAAGTCATGCTAGGTTAACCTTCACTTTAACCACATGATCCTCTTCTCCACACTCCCTCCTATCTAAGTCTCCCATATACAACCAATGTGCTTCCTTTTCTCCTCAAAAGAAGACACCCATTCTATACATGTAATATTTCAATTGATCCTCCTCATTATTATCAGCAGGTCAAGTGAGTACGTCTTTCACTTCTATATTGTTTTTCTATACTATTCTGTGTGCCTTCTACACTTCTACCTCTGAAATCACCTGATCAATCTTTCCTTTTGGGGAACTCTTATGGAAACCTTTCTAGAACATGAGACAGAAACAATGAACTCTGAGTAAAACAACTTTTTATTACTATGATTAAACTCCTTTTAGAAAAACACTACTCACCCTTGAGGAATTTTCGCTCCAAGATTAGGTGGAGAGTTGGCAGCCTGGGGAGTACTTTGCTGTCTTGGATCTTTACTAGATGGAGTTGCTGCAGTACAGCCAAGTAGAATCTCCTTAAAAACTGTTGTGGGAACAGACTGTACAGGACACACACTGGGAGAGGCCTAAAAGATACCAAACCAATAGACATTAAAAAGTCCCTAGTGGGAAATTACAAAATGCTAACAAAATTCAAAATAATTTTCTTGGTTTAAAACTAAACAAGCACAATATCATTGTCAAATAAAAGACCAGAAGAGTAAACAAGTGACAAATCACAAAAATAAAGAACTCATATTTGATGGCTGTAAATAAATCACTCCAGTTTTTCACAAAATTTAAGTGTTCCTATAGAAGGTTACAAGCTGATTTTTTTCAGACCTTTGTCGTCTATGTCAGGAAAACAATGTGGTAATTACTTTATTATGCAATGTACAGAAGTGAATTTGTGAGTTTCAATGGTAGCAGCTTCACATGCAATCATCTGGACATGACTTGAGTGCCCACCACGCACTTACTACGCAGATTGGCAGGAGAACCAGGCCACATAGGACTCTTGTAGGCAATGGAACCTACTGGGTGCCACGATAAGCCTTTGCAATGCAATAAAGATTGAGGACACGATTCTTGATCTTATGTGGCTCATCAAGTCAAAAAGGTCATCCCAAGCTGCAAAAAATATTAAGTCATGACAGGCCTATGGGATAAAGCTGTGAAATCCTTCCCCCCTTCCCTTTCTATGTAATTTTACCTTTGTGAAAATACAAATATTGGATCCACATCTTACATTTATAAAACTTCCTACCACTAAAAATAGAAGAGATAACTCCAGAAAACTTCTCTATGGCCATGCAAAATCCATCTGCCCATCTTTAGTAGGCTCTCCATCTATACTTAAGTCCTACGCCTTTCTCAGTTACCTCTTTCACACTAAAATAACCTATTTACCTTGCCATCAAATCTAAACCTAGAAGTCTTCAGTTTCTTCATCTTCTAATAATTAATGTCTAAAATCTGATGCAGAACTTCAAGTTTTTTGTTTTTTAAAAGACTTGACAATTGCAAACATATTAAATGCTGTCTATGCCTTACTCTGGAGCAGTCTTGAAAAGACTACCTAGTATAGAATTAAAAAACACCTAAAAATAATAAAAAATGTAATCATTTTCGAAGTTCTGGGCATTGCTTCCAACGACTTTTACGTACTCAATTATCTGATTGTTATACTGTTGTTGTAAACTTGTCTTTAGTTAAATATCAGTCTCACTGTTCTCTAGCTACATGCGTTTTGGTTTTATCTTGGGTTATTTGGAGAAGAGGTTGACTATACTCTTGCAAAGGTCAATTTTACATGTCTTGGCTTGTTTCCTAATCTTTTAAATGAATAGATTAAGTACTTCTAAAAGGTACCTTCAACTATACTTACATACAATTCTCTGATAATCACTTATTAAAAGATTACTCTCCAAAAATTTAATTGCCAAATCATCACAAAATGGTTATTCAACATGACTTAAAAAAAAAAAAGGTTCACTTTTACCAAGCATATTTCGTCTCACCTTTCACCTTCATCTCTTTGAATATATTCAGAGTTGATGTCCTAAAACTTTTCCTTAAATTACTCTTTGAAAGCAACATACAAAATTTAGATTGCAAACTGGATAATTTTACTCTGAACAATGTCCATCAAGCTGCTTAACTCAAAAAAAAAAAAAAAAACAAAAAACTCTCCATCTCATTCCCAAAAAACACCTCCAAACTCATTTCCCATATCTAATCAATGAAATCAATAAATCCTGCCTCCATTTCCTAAGTATTCACTGAATCTTTCCATTTCTTTCTGTGACACCACTTCCACCTCTATCTCAGACTACAAATCTAGCTTGTTTGACTTCCTTCTGTTCTTGTTAACCCTTCTCCTCCACAAACCCAGATTTATCCTAACACAGAACCACCCTTATAAAACATGTATCAAGACTCCACAGCCTACCAGAATTCCATATGGTCCAGTCTCCTGCCCATAGGTCATTAACCCCCTTGCCCACAGCATTCCAATCATTAGGCTTCTTCTCTTCAAACATTCTTAAACTCTTTCTGGTCTGGGCTTTGTACTTGTTATTCCTTCTGCCTAGTTTTCAGGGGCTGGATGGATGCTGGTTCCAACCTCTCTCCCTCATTTCCTCAAGTGTCACCTTCTTAGAATCCTTGGTTACTTGTTGCAAACAAAAGTGTTCCCTCAGTCACCCCTAACACTTTTTAAGTCACAGCCCTTTGTTTCCTTTTTCCACAGCACTTCTAAGAACTGTGAAAGCATCTTGTACTTAGTTGTTGTCAGTCTCCTCACAATGAAATGTACACTTATAGGCAGAGGCCCCGCTCCTATGTCCACTACCTGAACTCATCAAGTCAGACATACGGCAGATGCTCAGTAAGACTGGTGGAATGATGTTACGAATGAATAAACAGAGTTAGCACTTCATATTTTATTTTATTTATTTATTTAATTTTATTTATTTATTTATTTTTTGGTCTTTTTGAGACAGGGTCTCCCTGTAACTCCAGCTGCCTGGAACTCGCTCTGTAGACCAGGCTGGCCTCGAACTCACAAAGATCAGCCTGCCTGTGCCTCCCAAGTAGCACTTCATATTTTTAAGTAGCTCTGTAGATCAGTATTTCTCATATATTAAATACTCAATAAATATTCACTGGGAGGAGGAATAAAGGGAAGGAAAAAGGAATCGGTTGTTTTTACAATGGCGATTTACATCAAGGAAAGGATTTAGGGAGAAGTAGCAACACTAGCACAGTGGGTAAAATCACTGGCTTTTGAGGTTAGACCTTAGTTTGAACTGACATTTCCTCTGTTCCCATTTATACAGTGACAGCCCTATTTGGGCTGTTCTTTAACACAGTGCTCGGCACACAGCAAAAGTGATTTTTAATAAGCTCTCTTAAAACAACGAAATATTGTAAAAATGTTCTCAATTATATCACCATGTGACATGATTATCTTACTAAGGGTGCTTTCTCTTTAAGAAAACTGAGGAATATCCCTTCCATACCTTGCCTAAAACTTAACAGGGATAGAATTCCTGATTCCCAAACCCATCTTCATGTGCACACTGCTGCACTGGCCTCTGACTCGACAAAGGTCAAAGTTTCTTCTTACCTGAAGAGTTTTCCCTGAAGGTCTTCTATACCAGTCATGGCAATAGTTCCTCCCTGCCAGCAGACGGAGATAATATAATTGAGTGTATGACAATATTCTAAAAAGGTCACTGCTGGCTCGCACTCCTCAGCAGACTCTTTCCCAATTAACCAAGCAATGTAATAACTCTGAGGAATAGTCTGCTAGGCAAAGAAGACCTTCAAGGAGCTAGGTGTCACTGGCAAACATGTTTGTCTTAACCACAGCATGTTGCCTACCTAATCCCAAATAACCTATCTCCAAAGACCACCCTAAAACTAAACCTGTGCCGGCTCAATGCATTTGGGGAGCACAAACACAGAGAATGGTGCCAAGTGTGTTGCTGTACTCATTTTTCACTCACATCTACAGTAAGTGCCTGCCCCCCACCCCCACCCCATCCTTCCCTGTTCCTTTATCTCTTTTAGTCCTCGTGAAATCTAGGTCAGGCCAGTGTTCCAAATCTTTCCCAATTATAATGACCCAGAATGTAAGAGTACTGATATGGAAAAAATATTCACAAGGGATCAAAAGATACAAAAGAAAGCGGATATTTACCTACAAAAAAAGACAATCAAAACCCAGACCTTCATGATATATAAAGAAAAGGGAGGGAGAGAGAAGGAAAGAGAAAGGAAGGATTCCAAAATATGAACAATGTCCCTAGTATGATTATTTCATACTTAATGCTATTTCTTTGCCTTACTATACTTTTCTAGATGAACCAAAAATTTTAAGTAATCAAAACCAGATTTCTAAAACTTTTAACACTCAGGTAAAAATTTACCATCTCCAACTTCCTTTTGAATAGGATGACTATGGTTTATAAGCTAAAGATATTTTCTTAATCCAAGTCAATTACACCTCCTTAGGCAAACCAATGGTTCCCTGCTCCAAAGTACCCATACTGATGACAAACAGTATGAATACTCAATGGGCATAATGCATTATGATCTAGAATAGCCCAGACTCAAGTAATTTCTCCTGCCTCAGGCTTCTGAGCAGCTGTGACTACAGGCATACACTATTACACCCAGTTGAAACTGGTGTTTTTAAAACATAAAATGTAGTTTCTCATTGTCTAAGTAGAGATTAAGGAACTATCTTCAAGACAAAATCCATGCTTAATTTTTAAGAGTTTCAGTTGTGCACACAAATTTATTGAATATGAATAGTATGGACATGATTTAAAAAAAAAAAAGTCATGCTCCTTGCCCTACAAGTTTGAGGCAGATCACATTATGTGTATGAGCACAATTTTACATGCACTCCTTTAAGCATTATAATAAATTTACCTGCTCAATCACCTTTCCACTCACACCTTCCCCCAGGTATCCCCACTGACCCCAGTTCTGTCAGCGTCTCGGGTTGATTATTATTATTATCTTTTTGAGGTAATCACTGGCTTTGTGTTTGTTGTCAGTCATCTTAAAAGTTCTGTCTAACTCTAGCTCTTGACTTTGAAAAACAGAAGTAAAAGATTTACTACTGTAAGACCATGGAAGGAAGCAAAATCTCAGACACCTGCCATGGATATTTTGAATTTACATTTTTCTCTAGTTTTCTTTTCAGCATTTTTTTCTTCATTCATCTTTTCTTGGTAAGAAAGATAATTTCATTCATATTTTAAATGTATTTTTCAATGGGGTTTATTTTCATGAAACTTTCTTTACCTTTCCTTTAAGAATTATTGATACACTTATGCATCAATACTTTTTTCACACCTTGCAAATTGTTTTAATGTTGGAGCCTAGTTATCAGGCAGCTTGATTTTCTTTTTTAAATTTTTTTATTGAATCTTTGGGTATTTCATATAGAACATCTTAATCATCTTTATTATACCCCATCTTTATTGGCACCCCCCCTCCAGTGGAATTCATCCACTGTCATTTGTGTTAAGGCCTATCATGCCAAGTAAGTATCTCTAGTTGTCCCTCAGTGTGAATTCATCCACTGTCATCTAGTCAGCCTGACTAGAATCCCTCCCTTTAAGATCAGCTCTGCCTCACCCAGCTGTCTAGGGATGTGACAGTCTTGCGGTTCTCTAAGTCTCAGGTTGATTCTTATAAGATATACTGTTTCTTGACCCCTTCTCCAACACAACATCTTTAACTCTCCTTTTTGTCACACATCTATTTACACACTGATGCACTCTCCATGACAGGTAACACTCAGCCAAATGGCCTTTACTGGTTTCTATTATAGATTACTAACAATTCTTCCAATATCAAAATCTGACAGATTGTAATTCTGCCCATTTTCCCCCCAGCTTCTAACAACACTGGGGATTTGGCAATATCCTCTCTGAGCTTAACTAAGATGCATTTTAATCATTTTCTTTATAGCCCTTACAATATTACTTACCCAAAGCCTGACTATTCATTTCCCTAACTCCCACCAGCTCAGACTCTTTCTAACCTGAGAGACTATATGGTAACATAAATGATCACCAGACGCCAGCTTGGTGATCTGAACTTTCTAAACTACAACTGTTGTGTTCTATGATACACACATTTCACTTAATCAACCCACTTAGAAGGTAGATTTTCCTATCTCCTCAGTCCTAATACCTAGTCCTCCACCAAGCCAAGTTAATGTTGTCTCCTAAATACCTATCTCCTCAGTTAGTGCCTCACTTCAGCCCCATTTATAGTGGCCAATCCCTCCAACCTACCCAGTGTCCTAGTTTCTACCATCACTTCCTTCCCTCATCTGCATAAAATAAACAAGTCACTCTCTTAGATTTAAAACCGTAGCCACCCCATACATTTAACCATAACAAAACCAGACTTCCTTTCCACCTCTAGTAGTGCTTTTTCTTCCCATGAGTCTTGCCCTCCAGTCATAACTTTCTCTAAGAGCTTCTGCCCATGCTGCTTGAGGCACCTGCACAGCTCCTGCACAGGACACTCTCTTAAGAGTTTGTTTGGGTCAGGCATAGTGGCACAAGCCTTTAGTCCCAGCACTCCGGAGGCAGAGGCAGGTGGGATTTCTGTGAGTTCAAAGCCAGCCTGGTCTAGACAGTGAGTTCCAGGTTAGCTGGGGGCTACAGGGAGACCCTGTCTCAAAAAGAAAAAAAAAAAAGTTTGTTTGGAGGCGCTTCTGGGAGTGTCTCTCTCTCTCTCTCTCTCTCTCTCTCTCTCTCTGTATACATGATCTTCAAGACAGCAATTCCAGACACTTCTTAGTCTCCAAGACCAAGTATATAGCATGTAAATGTTCCACCTTTGTTTCCTGGATGTGTGTTATTTGTAATTAAATGAGAAATAATACTATTTTCTATAATGACCTCTTCATTCTTTCCTGAACAACCCTGAGCCTCTAACCAAGAGGTCAAGGCTATACCTTTGGAATGAAGACAAAAGCTTTAGTCACCTTGGTTCAGGAAACTCTGGGTATAGAATTAAAGTTCCTGTTGTCTGAACATGGACAAAAAGCAGAGGAAAGGCCCTTGGGCTTTCTGTAGCACGGTGTTTGCTCTGGTTCTAGCTGACATCGTAGTCTAGTCTGCTGCTGATATGGAACCCTAGCTACTTTCATTCACTCCTATGCTATTTTTCACTGCCTTGTCCCCTAGTCTCCAAGGGTCTTTCTTAAATGCTGTCAGTAGTCTTCATGTATCATTCTGGTCAATTTTAAAATTCTAAACTCTAACCTGGAGCATCCTATTACAGAAAAGTATTCATCAACATAAGTGCATTTGGATTTCTAAATTGTCAAACTTATTCATCCTATAACACATCTTAATGACAAAAGGAAAAAGTCTTAACTGACCCAAAGAGAAACACTATTTTGGAAGAGAAATATGGCACCTGAATTCATGTGGCATCCATGAAGCCTATGTTTTTCTGGGTCAAAATTAATAATGACAAACTGGCCACTTATTTTGAAAAGCTAATACATTTGGATACTTAATCACAAATGACCAATGCAAGTTCCTTATTATTATGAGGGTGTGGGCCCTGTTTCAACAGCCAACCTTCTCACAGCTCTGAGGTTCTTCCCCTCTTCTCATGCCAGGCATTTTTCCAAGTTAACATATGCAACTTCAGAAACACCCACCATATGGTGAAATTGACACATAATTGAGAATTTTCACCAAGTATCAAAAAAATGAAGCTTTTACTGCAAAAAAAATAGTGAACCAGAAACTTGTATCATCTTCAGCTGCTTGAGTACAGAAATTACGGCCAAGATCTGAAGTTTACAACAGCAGAGAAGACAGCACAGCAGAGTAGTACAAACTGCCACATCACTACTAAAGACTAGCCAGGCAATTGTAAAGAAAGCTTTGCAAAAGTGGCAAAAATAAATCAAGGTTACCTCAGTGCAAGATTTTGCTTGTTTAGAAACTAGATTTCCATTATTCTCAGAAGACTTGCGTTTTACAGCTCCGATTCTTGTAGAATTACCTACAATATATAAAAATAGGAAAGTAGGTTTCCTTTTCTCTTAATGTGAGATGAAAGGGAAAAAAGAAAGGTTTTAATTAATGTGTCTTACCACAACTCACAAAGTTTTCATGTACAACTTCAACATGAATCAGTGCCGGATCAACAATTTTCAGTGCTGGAATCTTTAAAATAAAACAAAGACACTGGAAAATTTAAAAACTCTTGAGAACATATTGAAAATTAGCTCAACATAGCAAGAGGATATCATACAAATAACTTCCTTTAAAAACAATTAACTCTGATTTTTGTTCTAACATTTTATAAAATAAAAGGTTTAGTATCTAGAACACAAATCTTCTGTATAGTTATCTTGCCCTGTACGTTATATTACATGCAATTATCATTGTCTTTACCTCCTCACAGTTGACCTGAAGAGTTTTTGATGTTGGGTTTCCATTTATAACAGTTGCTGAAAACCACTGGGTAGATGGATCCAAGCTATAAATTTTTACTTCTGAACCAACGAGGTTCTTGTCTCCTTAAAAAGAAAAAAAAAAAAAGCCACAACAATTTGCATTATCTCTAATAGCACTACTCTCCAGGACAATCTTTGGCTAAGTCTCTTTAAAAATGCAGTAAACAAAAGCAAACATTAAACAAACTGCTTCAAACTTAAGGCAGGCATTTCAGCAAAATCAGGAGAAAATGCAACTTTTCCATTTCCCCATAGATTTTTAATTTTCTCAGACTAGCAATGTATTTATACCATGTTGTATCAGATCAGAAGTATCAAAACAATTCACCAAAAGCAAATTTCCTACCTTCTGTAGTTTTAGAAGAATTAAATGCAGGAACCCCAAGAAAACTGCTTAGTTTCAAAAAGAATGAAAGTAAAATCTTATGGCTATGAAGCTGACTGAAAAACCAGTAACAGTAAATAGAAAAGTAAGGATCACCAAATAAATGCCTTATTAATTTTAAAAACTAAAATTCCAAACATAGCAAATCTACATCAAAATACAATTGGGTTTTTAAAAATATCTACTTTTATAGCTTTATACAACCTCTGAACCAAAATTCTAGAGGTTTTGAGGAAGTCCTGTGGTCATCTTATTTAATACAGAAAGCAACAATCTTTGTTTTGAACATTTTTAAATTAAATTTTTAAGTATTTCCAATTTCCAACATCAGAAAAAATTCTTTTTCAATGACAGAATGAATAAAAACAGCTAAATCCTACCTTCTTATAAGCTAATCACTGGTTAACTCATGAATTAACAAGATTATCTACATACCTTGTAAAAGATGGCTTTCATCCAAATGTTTTACAATCAAAGCTTGAAATTCTTTACTGACTACCTGATTATCAGTAAGGGAAAGTCGAAGACTGTTTACATCCTGTAAAACCAAAGACCACAGGAGTTATTTATGAGAGTTGTTAAGAACTGGTATGTTGGGGCTAGAGAGATGGCTCAGCAATTAAGAATGCTAGCTACTTTGGTAGAGGACCTGGGTTTGAGTCCCAGCACCTCACATGGCATCTAAACAACCATTTTTAACTCCAATTCCAGGGGATCTGATGCCTTCTTCTGACCTCCACAAGCACTGCATGACATGGGTGCACTTACACGCACGTGTACGTGTAAAATAAAAATAATAAATAAAATATATTTAAAACAGAATTGAGCATGTTTCAGTTGGTTTAATCAGATCAGGGGCATGTGTCTACACACACACAACAAATCTTTAAAAAAAAGTCACTCAGAGCATAATTAAAAAAAATATTTTATTTATTTTTATTTTATGTGTACGAGTGTGTTGTCTCCATGTATGTGGGTGCACCTGTGTGATGCAATGTTGCGGAGGTCAGAAGAGGGCTTCGGATTCCCCTGGAACTGGAGTTAAGGATGGTTCATAGCCACTATGTGGGTGCTGGGAATTGAACCTGGGTCCTCTGCAAGAGCAGTCAGTGCTCTTAACCTCTGAGCCATCTCTCCAGCCCCTCAAAGCATAATTTTAAACATGACATATACTTTAGGTTATAGGAAAATAAATCAAGCTGATCAAGCCAAGTAAAAAAAACGTATTCTATATTCCAAACACTATGGATGGGAAAATTACAAGTCCAAATCCATGAAGTTGAAAAAGGTAGAAAATACACAACAGACAGATATGTATTGTCTATTTAATTGAATTTACTGTTTTTAAAAATATTTTATTATTTTTATTTTATGTGTGTGAGTATATTGCCTACATGTAGGTGAGTGCACCCATGTCGTGCAATGCAGCAGAGGTCAGAAGAGGACGTTGGATTCCCTTGGAACTGGAGTTAAGGATGGTTTGTAGAGGTCAGAAGAGGATGTTGGATTCCCTTGGAATTGGAGTTAAGGACGGTTTGCAGCCCCCATGTGAGTGCTGAGAATCAAACCCAGGTCCTCTGCAAGAGCGGTCAGTGCTCTTAACCACTGAGCCATCTCTCCAGCCCTGAATTTACTGTTTTTAACAAACAACTTATTTCACACAAATCCATTTAACCTATCAATTTAAATGCACTTCTCATTACAAAGGGTAAGGAGGTAAAGGGACAAACAGGGAAAATCTGAATGAAGAGCCTTAGACTTCAGAGTAAGCCTGTTTCAAAGCACTGAGTTCTTGGCAGTAGCTCCATTTCTTGGCATTGTTCCACAGTCATCCGGTTTTGTGTGCAAACCCAGTTATGATAAATGTATACAGAACTGTCAAAAGGAATAACCTGTCAAATGCAACTTCTACTGGGACAAAGAAAAAAATTGCTAAACACAGAAGCCCTCCATTGGCAGGCCTTCATACTTTTCTGCCAGTGAAATAGAGTGGCCAGAACAGAATGGTTCACTCATTTCTCCTACTGGAAACAGCTACTAGTTTGAGAGAGGAGCCATGATAGAAAAATGCCTTTCTTTAGGTAAGTTAACACCATTATAAGAGTCTTCATAAATGTTCAAAGTTAATTACCAAAGTAGGTATGGGTGTTTTTTACTTCATGCATTTATTGCTACCACAATTTCAACAAAAAAAATTTAAGAGGATTCTCCAATACCCACTACAAAATGAAACAATATATTAATGAGGAAAGCCACACAGGGCTCTTAAGGTAGACTAATCTAGTCTGCCTAGGAGGGTTTCAGAATCCATCAAATCTATGAGATAGTTTTTTCAGATACCTTTTTCTTACCCATAATCATATATAAAGGCAGACCTCAAGTTTCAATTCCAACTTTTGCATATGTCAAATGATTTTTTTCATCTGCAATCTGCATTACTTCATAGAGCAAGCATACCATCAGGTAACCTCCAACATGGAATTTCACACAGAAGTTAATGTGATAGTACATGTCTACAAGATAGTGCTCTGAAGAACTAAACCTTGGCCATTCTTACCTTTAAAATGATTTTTATTTTTATTTATGCATATGTAGGTTTGTGTCTAGGTGAGTGTTAGTATTCCACATGTGTCCAGGTGTCCAGAAGAGGGTGTCAGATACCCAAGGGCTGAAGTTACAGGTAGTTGTGAGTCACCTGGAAAGGGTTCTAGGAACCACAGTCAAGTCCTCTAGAAGAGGGAGCAAGTGCTCTTAACTGCTGAGCTACCTCTCCAGTCCCAACTTTTGCCATTCAGTAAAAGAATACACTTAATTATATGGTGATTCTAATGTTAATGAATAACAGTATTCACACTGATAGCCCACAGTTCATTTCCCCTGAGAACAAATAAAACCTTCAATTTAGATGTTTTATTTTGTAGTCTCAAAAAACAGAACTAGGAATTCTACCTTAACTGAAAAGTTTGGACACATGACAGATTGAGAAAACAATGCCAAGAAGTAAAAACTACTCTTTATTACTCAAAAAGCAAAGCATACACAGTATCACTATATAGTCCCTGATCCTTACTTATGGGCAAGCTGTTCTTCCATTTGAAGTAGGAAGAATATGAAGACATTCCTAAATACACAAAAGGTAACTTGCATCTGAAACAGCACATTCCACTGTTCTAGTACTTAAAACACTATAAAGTACATTATAGGTTTTGTTTTCATTCACTTCCAGGACACGGAAGTAAAAGTGAGATGCAAGTAAAGACAAAGCCAGTGCTCTATGCTTTCCAATATAGGTCCTGCAATCCAGTTGACCACTGACCTCAAACTGCCTGTTAGCAAACAAAGAAATTTAATTAATCCTATATGCCACACAGAACAGACTCCAAGTTAAAAGCAGTAGTGGATAAAGGGGATTAATAAGCTTAATAAAGTAATACAAAAAAGATGAATTGTTATAAAGCCAGCAGTAGTTTAAAGGTAGTAGATTCCTTCCTTTCTAACAAATTCCTAACAATCACCAAGACCTAGGACCAAGAGTATGACCAAGACCTAAGAGTTCAAATGTGAAGAAAAAGATCTCAGAGTTTTTCAAACTAACTAGAAAACAGTCAAGTCTCATTGTCAACAGTAGTTATAGTCTATCAGGTTGCCAAGATCTGAACTAGGGAGCACTGAACAAGTTACTGCTTTTATGAGAAATACTGGAGTCTTGTAATCCTCTTGGTCACATTTTCATCAACTGATCAATAAATAACTTTGCCTTGTATGTGCTTCTATTCAAAGACACCTTACTTAATATATATTGCTGATCCATTAATCTAGAACCTCAAGGCTGAATAATGCTTATCTAACATACACATTTCCTTCTTCACAACTTTCTTGGACTTACTAAGAATTCCAGACAGTACTTCAGAACACACTTTCAGAGACATTTTAAACAGAGAAATCACCACAAATAAAAGGCGACTAGAAGACACACAGCTTTAAAAAAACAAAAAAAAAAAAATGTCACTAACACTAAGCTGCAAAAGCAAACTTGTTTACACCGAAAAAGCTGGAGTACCTTCCTAAATGTGACTTCTGCTGGGAACTAGCATCAGGAAACTCAAAATTGATGCTCTGATGCTCTGTGTGTGTCTACATAGAACCATGCACAAGTATCAATTTGGGGGTTACAAATGTATTTTAGCAAGTAGGCAAACTCATTAAGCCTGAGATCCATGCATGAGGATGGCATATATGTAAGTCTATATAAACAACTCAAAATTTTTTCATATCATCTACCCTTTTCCCAACACACATATCATCCATTTGATATTGCTGGTTTTTTTCAATACCAAAAGGAAAACACAAATCCACCAGGCTAACACTGAGAAATGCTATACAACAACTAACTTCTGATGAGATGTTTTTTTTTCTCTATTAGGCATCTGCATGAGGGCAACCAATGTTAGCTGGTTAGACGTTTAATACTGTTCCTATGGTTTACCTGTATAGGCTTCAAAAGGTCTTTGGAAAGAAATATGCTTTGTTGATCTCCTAGAAACCGAACAGAAGTTATAGATCCCAAGCCAGCTTTGTCCAATAGAGATTTGTACATCTAAAAAGACAACAAAGTATTTGGTCATCATAACTATTATCAGCACCGTTCTGAAAATAGGAACTGGCAATTTTCCACAAAAGTGATAGAGCCACTGAGTTTTTATTTACTAGAGTACACTATTTTTTATTCAAACCCAGTAATTTAAACCAGATACACATTTGGGAATCATTAACATACAGGGCTACAAATCCATGGTTTCCCAAAAGTATATGTGAAAAACGTTTGTGTAAGTTTTTCTGGGGAAACTATATATTTTTAGAAAATTCCTAACAGCTAAAAAATAGTAATAAAAAAAAATTAAAAAGGGCAAAAATACAACCACAACCCTGTATCTTTCAAGCACCTCCAAGGTCTCTTCACTAAAGGGCAAAATCTTAACTTCGCTAGTATCACATGCCAGGCCATACACAATCTGTCAGCCTTCCATCAGTTTCCCAGCTCTCTGACTACTCATACCTGACTTTTGCTCCTTGAAGCCCCAGCTCATGCCCCATAAGTCTGGCCTGTCCTCTCGAGATTCATGGATCACTTTTGCTCCAGACTTATAACGTGGATAATCATATACTGACTTCTAGTATCTTTAGAGGCCCCAAATTTCTGAGCTAGCAGGAACCTTATAGGTGATTAAACTGAAGTTAGAAACCCATAGAAGAGGAAGGTAATGGTACCTATTCAGCTACAGCTTACTATTTACCATAAGGAACTCCTGACAAGGCCCACCCAGCAAGGCTCCAGGTTTCTCTACCTTACTGTTTTATCAACATTAGAAATTTAGGTTTTTAGAGGTACTGCCCACTTATTTAATAACCTTTTATTCATTTTTCACAAGTTTTATAGATTTAAGCAATGCATCTTGATTATATGAAGCCCCAACTTTCCCCTTCCCAAGGGGGAACACAACCCCACACCCTCAACATGTCCCCATCACCCCTCTATGTCCTCTTCCTTTTTTGTCAATAATACACTGAGTCTTATTAGTTCTGCCTATTAGAATATACTTGCCATATATATTTTTAAAGCAGGAACTTAACTCTAATTTTCTTAAAAAGCTGACTCTGAGCCAAACCAAACATATCTGTATGTTTGTGTATCTGCTAATTTCTGACCTTCCCACTTTAAGTGCACCCACATTTTTAAGTGAAGAAAATAAGGCCCTAGAAAGTCATGGGACCTGGTAAGAGTCACAGAGCTCTGATCAGGCAAAACATCCTAAGTACTCTTCCATCTTGTCACACATATGGACTATTATTTCCCTGAGGTCAAAGAAAGGCATTACATTTTCCTTATTTCACCCCAAACGGATGGAATGTTTTCTTGTCAGTTCAATAAAGCCCAAGCTTTACTCACTATGGCAGGCCACTGAATAACTCGTTCAGAAACTTCAGGTGACTTTCGTTCAGCCAGAACCAAGTTATGCTCTACTAAAAATGCTCTCCTTAGAAGGCTGTAGACCTCTATCCATCTTCTCTTCCTCCAAGACTCCCCATCAAACTCCACACACACCTAAATAAATGAAATTGAAAAAAAATCAAGTTCAATGAACAAAAGTAAACAGTACAAATGCTGAAGTTGAATTATATCATTATTTTATTTGAATACATAAAGTTTTTGCTTAGTATGTGGTTTCCATTGTTCCCATACTTTCCTTCATAGCCCACAATAAAATAACTATGCATGGACCAAGCCTTTGCTCTTAACTTACTTTTGGATGCTGAAGTCCAGAGCTTTTAGAGTCAGTTCCCTCAAAATGACCACTGGCAAACCCAGAACCCAAAAATCTCCACTCAAAAGTGGTTTATTTATTTATTTATTTATTTTTGAGACAGGGTCTCCCTGTAGCCTAACTGGCCTGGAACTTGCTATGTAGACCAGGCTGGCCTTGATCTCACAGAGACCCACCTGCCACTACCTCCCAAAAGCATGATGTACCACACCCAGGTTTTTTAAATAAAAATTTTAAAAGTTTTTATGCATATGACAGTTTTGCCTTCATATATGTTAAGTGCACCCATGCAAGCAATGCCCACAGCGGCCAGAAGAGGGCTTTGGATGCCCTGGAACTGGAGTTACTGAAGGTTGTTAGCACCCATGTGGTGTTAGGGGCCAACCCAGGGCCTCTGCAGCCAATGCTCTTAACTGCTGAGCCATCTCTCCAGGCCCTACTCAGAAGTATTTTACATATGCTAAATAGAATGTGAGCTTTGGGAACTGGAAGGAATGCATATGAAACCCAAAAGAAGTACTTATCACACAGCATTGTAATTCTTTGTTGACATTACCAGTGGGTTTAAGATGATTCCCTTAAACCACAATCTACCACCTACTTTTTTTGTTTGGTTTTGTTTTGGGGTCAGTATCTCACTATGAAGCCCTGGCTGGCCTGGAACTATGTAGACCATGATGGTGACCTCAAACTCACTAAGATTCTACTTACCCTTGAGTGCTGGGATTGAGGGAATGCACTACCAAGCAGGGCTCTGAAATGCCCTGGTATCAGAAGGACTTAGCACAAAGCCTAATACATGGCACATCTTCAAATGTCCCTTCCAACTAAGCTGGGAAATCTACCTCAGAGTTAGTCTAAAACTACTTTGTTTACTAAATACAGAAACACAGAACTACCTCCTCTACTAATTTTGTTATCTTCTGTTTCTTTTCCTAGTGCTAAGGACCACCTAGTTTCTTACATGAAAGTTAGAACTATCTTTAAAAACATTTTCCAAGTAATTGTGATGCTTTATGCTTCTGACTTGCAAAGTATCTCTGAACCTATTAAAAAAAAAAAAAAAAAAAAGGTCCAAACACAGGTATCTAGCAGTAACCCTGAGTCCAGAATTGTTCACAAAATTTTTAAGGTCATATTAATATGCTAAAAACATCCCATATTTTTTCTCAGCCATTAGGGACCCAATTAGCTCCTTAATTTATTCTAATCTTCTTTAATGTGTTTGATATTTTAACAGATTTCAATAAAATCACTCAATATTCAATGCGGAAAAATCACTTGAATCTTTCCTTGAAGAAGCTCTCCCTTACCAGTCTCAGTCTCCCAAGAGGGGTCCTCTTACCAATTGTATACAAAGATTTGTACATTTTCTTCCTAATACTCATCTATAACTGACAGTATTTGAGAGGGACTGATAAAATTCTAATAGGTCAAAGTCTGTCTGCCTTAGCTTACCATTATGTACCACTGGCACAGAGGCTCTAATCATTACTCAAATGTGTTGAATGAATAAATCAACAATTTCTCTCTGAATTGGGCTCCTATCTTCTGTTTTTCTCATCTATTTAAAAGGCAGCAAATTTCCAACGCATATACTGTTAACTCCAATCCTAAACCTTTTCTCATCTACAAATGTCTCTTTAAAAATCACTAAGATTCAAGGGCTGGAGAGGTGGTTCAGTAGTTAAGAGCGCTTGCAGAGGACCAGAACTACAAGGTGTCTCACTCATATCCATCTATAACTCCAGTTCCAGGGGATCCAACACCTCCGCAGGCACCGGACAATGCATATGATATGCACATACATACATGTAGGCAGACACCCATACACACACAAAAACATAAAATCATTAAGAGTTAAAGCTTGGCCTACCCATTTACCCCAACAATAATGGTGCAATCCCTTTTCAGGCAACCTGGCCTAGAAAGCTACCTATCTTTTTTAGCATGTAATGCTTCTAACTTTCCAATTAGCAAATATTTCCAAAATCAAAATTAATCCAAATGTGTACAACTATGCAACAAGATCTCATACTCACTTTTTCTAGCTGTATATATTCTATCACTGTTGCCAACCAGCTTCCCAGATATGTTCAGAGACTACTATCTTCGTTTTCCTAGCCATAGAATCTAAGTCATCTGACTAGAATTTTCATCCTCATATTCACATCAGTCTTAAACCCAACTCAGCTTTCAGTGCCAGATTTTTCTAACAGAAATGGGGAGGGGGGTGGTGAGAGATAGCTCAGCAGTTAGGAAGACTTACTGCTCTTTCAGAGGACCTGAGTTCAGTTCCCAGCATCCATGTCAGGTGTCTCACAACCACCTGATCTCCAGCTCCAAGAGATTTGATGCCTCTAGCCTCTTCAGGCACCTTCTACTCCCATGCGAATGCCCACACACAGACACAAAATTTTTAAAAAAATAATAAATACATCTAAAAAAATGTGGAATAAAAGGGATAAACATAAAAAAATTACAAAAATAGAGATCTGGGCTTGAATCCCACCTATGATGCTCTGTTAGAATGACTTTATATGAATAAAATCAACATAAAAGTAGCAGGAACTAACCCGAACCCCAAATTAAGAACCCTTGCTCAGCCAGATATACATATCTGGCATACATCTTTAATCCTGGCACTCAGGAGGTAAAGGCAGGCAGATCTCTGAGTTCCAGGCCAGCTGGGGCTACACAGTGAGATCCTGAACGAACAAACAAACAAACAAACAAACAAACAGAACACTTGCTTACAGATATGAAATGCCATGGTGAAATCCATTGTTTTGCTTAACATATACTAACGGGGGCTGGGGAAATGGTTCAGTCTCATGCACAAGCATGAGGACCCAAGTTCGATTCCCAACACTCTTGCTTTTAAAAGCTGGGCACAGCAGCATACATTCTCTAATTCTAGTATTGGGAAGAAAGAGACAGGAGGATTTGGGGGGTTTACTGGCCAGCCAGTCCAGCTGAGTCAAAAAGCTCGAGATTCAGTGAGACCCTATCTCAAAAAAATAAGTGGAAAATGACCAAACAAGGCACCCAAACATCAGTCTCTGGCATCCACCACACATAAACACACATACCACACATATACACATAAAAGAAAAAGAAATATACTAGTGGAGAAAAAAGTCCAAATCCTAATCTATTGAATCTCATTTTACTAGCTTAATGATTTCCCAAAGCTTAACATCACAACTCTTACCAGTTCATTATCTGAAGCTTAAGATAACCTAATTTAAAAAAAAAAAAAAAAATCCCTCAAATTTGAAAAAGTTTAGCTTCTGAAAACTGTCCAACCTTTAACACTGCAAAATGACACTGTCATCTACAAAGTTCACCCCTAAGAACAGCACAATCAAGTTGCAAAAAAAAGCAAAAAGATGGGGCTAGAGAGATGGCTCAGTAGTTAGGAACACTGGATGTTCTTGCAGAAGACCCAGATTAGAATCCCAGCACCCACATGGCAGCTAACAACTGTCAGTAACTCCAGTTCCAGGGGATCCGACAGCCTCTTCTGTCCTCCGCAGGCATTGCACAATATGGGCGCACTTACATACATGCAGGCAATACACTCATACACATAAAATTAAAAAAATTAAAAAAAAATAAAAGCCAAAAAAAAAACCCTCATATTTTAAGTTTCTAATTTTTTTGTTGGCCTGCATTCACAGCTCTCCAGGGGCACATGTGGTCAATGGACTGACTTTCAAATATTAGGTTATGGTGGCCAAAATTCACATAAGCTTTGGTTTGAA